TATTGGAGTGACGTTGCACTCAAAGTGTTAATGACCCTATTATATAATCTGCTTTCCTCCATCTTACAAATTTCAACATTCACTGTCATCCGTACTGCACCCGCATTACGGAAATTAGAATCGTAAAGAAGTTCGACGAAAGGAGGACACCTCGAATGTCCTTAGACTTTCAGTAAATAATGGCACCTAAAAGTTCCGTAAGCACCAACACCGCTGTCAGACGAAAACGTTCCTAGGCCATTGGACAGCCGCTGCTAATCAGCTCACCACGCATCCGTGGCGTCTAAGGGGCAGCAACTGACCGTGATATTAATTGCTTTCTGGCTATTAGAGAATGGTACCTCGGAGATTTCGCAAGGGGTGGGAGTGGCGAACCGTACACACCCGTGCGACCCATTAATATTAACGCGACGCAATACGCTGGTTACCCGTTCCGAGACGCATTAGACTCCTGTTTAAATCACGCTCGGCCGAAAGGGAAAACGCCTAACTATTGTTTATCCCGTCGACAATGGGCCAGCGACCGTCGCAACTAGGAAGCTGAACGAAACGTAGCGGGCGACTAATCTCGTTCCCTTTGCCTCCCCCAGTGAATAGTACGTCCTTCTACCCCGTACTAATTGCCAAGCCCCGTCTGCTCTCTTTTCATCGCGTCGCGAAAGACGTTGGAAGCAGTTTTAAGTTGCGTTTTCCTCTGGTTTCATTCACGAGTAGCTGTGAACGACCATTAACCCCTTCTAGAAGTAAAACGTTTTCTTTACTATTTTCGACAACTGCATACACTCACCAAAGTTAGTTTATCGTTAATATTAGGTGTACAAATTAATTCGTGGACTTATTTTCATAGATTTGTTGTTTACTTACAAGAAACCAAAAGTACAGTCTAGTCTTGAAAATATTCTCCACCACTTTTTACACATTTACGATATTTTTCGAGCAATTGGCTAATCGACTTTCAAAGAAATGATGGCGGTTTTGAGTCAATACTTAATTGTGCAGACCACTCAACACATAATACTTTCATGGGGAAAACTTTATATATTGTTTATTATAATATTCATAATTCTGTCTCATGAAGATTATAAGGCCAGGGGCCAGAAAAGGTCGTAAATCCAGGTTTAGACGCTTACTATGATTAACTTAAGTAACTTCGAAGTTATAAAAAGTTGATGGTATAGGAATTTAAAAAAAAATAAAATATCCAACGTCAAGATAATATTCAGTCTTAGAAACGCTTTTCACTTAAAGAATATTTAGGATGTGAATATTATGATTACAACTTTGATATTTTTAATAACACGAAAATACTTGTACAGTAAAACGTCGATTATCGGAAACTTCCAAATATAGATTACTGGAACACAGAACCAGTAGATAAAGATTACATTGTTCCATCTATTTTTATGGATGCATAAAATTATGTATCTCTTTGACCAATTATCCGAAAAACTGTTTATCAGAATGCATTCGTCTCTCTGTTAGTTCGAATAATCGAGGTTCTACTGTACGTGAAATACTCATTTAGCAAAAACATGGTCAGTGTTCCGAGCTTATGAACTGCAATGGTACCTTCTTTGTTAATGCAAACGTTTAACACTTTCTGGACTAACGACACAATATACCTAAAGGTAACTGTTATAATGTCTGCTGAAATATATGCCCCCAAACTCAATTATTTACTTATATAAATTAAATTGATAAAGAAAGAGGTGTGTTAGCTATTCAGCAACGACAATGACAAAATGGCCTAGAACTAACATTCATAATATTACAATAAACTACATTATTCTTTCGCCCATTTGACTTTGTCAAACATTTTGTAAAAGATTTTAATGAATAAACTTGTTCCCTAGTTGTTATAATTCTTTCTGTCACCTCAGACTTATTGGGACACACAACCCCACTGTAAAGAACCAATGAGACTTGTGCATCCCGTTTTCAAGATTATGCTCAACCTTTTTTTCCTTTATATTGGAGCGTATTATAACGTGACTGCGGATTTTTATGCAAAATAACATTTCCCAAAGTAATTTATAAAGACAGGAGCAAATGTAGAAATTTATTTTTCCTCCCAAGTATCTTATTGGGTTCAGACTAAAATCGAAAACTCATTGGATCCGATGAATCTGTTGCCCTTTATTGGATTTCACAGAGCCCTATAGGCTGTACATGCATAAAATCCGCAGTCTAATTATTATATAACCCATACTACTATATTATCGAGTTCGTCGTTAACGAAAAAATCCATTTCGAAAGCGTTAAGGAATACCAAATTTTCTGTAACAAAATTGGAAATACTGCAGAACTGTGAACAAAAACGTGCTTCGTTCCAAAAATCTGAATGGTTAACGAGACATGCTGCATTAACAAACATAGTATTCCATTTCGTCAAAGGCTTCGATAAGACAGCAGTTTAATTGTTCAGCGCGATTGTCCTCATCGTACACGCGCGGAAATACACGACAGCTCGCGATTTTAGGAGCGTGCAAGCACTTTTCTCGTTCGACGTGTTTGCGCTCTCTTTGTCGCAGCCGGCCGTGGAGGCATTCGGGAATTCGAAATAGTTTCGGAAAATTTAGTAATGCGTCCGAACGATTCCATCAATACGGATTCATTTGCCGGCACTCCGGTGAATCGTTTCGCAAATACGGGATCGTTAATTAAGTTTCGACTCGACTGAATACGCGAGTGTGTCCGTTATAAAAATGTTAACCGAACGGTGCTCGAGGATGACAAATGGCACGGTAATGGCGAAACGGAAAATAAATCCAGGAGGGTGGCATTAAAATTTCCATTCCACTCGACGAACAACCCAATGAAATTGAAATAAATTTCGATGCGTAAACAGCGAATATACTTGTTACGCATGCATAACAATGGTATCTAATGGTGCTGATTGTTAACTACACGTTAATAACAAATACAGTATGAGCTAGCCGGTAATCGCTGCGATTTGATAATTTCCAATTTTTATGTCGAAAGATTTAAATCGTTTAAAAAGTGTTTTAGTCACTCATAACCTCTATTTTTATTTCTAACTTAACGAAATATAATCTGAACGATTGATATTCATAATAATCGTACGGAAGGTGTTTCGTCCCCTAACTCTGTTGAATAAAATACTGAACGCATTTACATTATTTAAATTTATAATAAATGGTGTTAAATACTGCTACCAATTTTTAAGAGAATCCTTGAGAAAGCAGTATTTATGAGTTCTGTTGATTAAGGGGGTGAGAAGGTCGTTGCTATCCTCACCGTGTAAAGGTCGACCTTCAAGGGAGAAACATTTATCACGTAAACGGCCTCCGCGAGCCGTAAAAATTTAAGTAAAATATGTTGAAACATTAAACTTTGTACCTCAGGTACGTAGTTGTAACTTTATGGTACTAACTAATCAGGAGTTACTTTCAATGAATTTTTCGGAAGTAAAGCATAAGCTGTACATGTACAAGTAATCGTACAAAGAAGTACAAGAAGATACACGGTCTTTTCAATACAACTGCACATGCTCGTTAACGGTGTGAAACTAGGATCGAAAAGAAAATTAAAATACAAATTAAATCGTCTTCACTTGATATTGTTATTTCTATTTGTAACAGGTTAATATTATTAATTTTTAGATAAAATTATGAATTTTAATTAACTGTCAATTGTGTTAAAACGTTTGCTACAACACAAAGTGTACATATATGTTACTTTATCCCTTGTTAGTTTAACCCTCGTGCACCATTGGAGTCAATTTAACCCAAACCCAGACTGTAAGTTTTAATTATATTCTTTCTTAGAGAAACTTTTAAATTAATCAGACACCACTAGTTTACACATACCTATGACGGTCAAGCGATCTATAAGTATATATAATTAAAATATATAAAATAATAAATGTATTAATATACATATAAAAATATTCCTTAATTCAATTTTAGCTTAGACTAAGTTTAATTCAAGGAATACAAGTGCAACAATTACTTGTACAGTGTGCAAGAGTTTAAAAAAAATAGGCTCAACAGGCTATCGTTAAACACGAAAATGTAGTACAAGACACTACTGACTCGTGTCGTCAAATGGAAAAGTTTATCAAAGGAGCTACCCCAAACGTGTCACCTGTACTGCATGTTAAACCTACGCTGAATTCGTAAGCTCAATTAAAGAACGTATCATCATACAGTAGTGTGCAAAATTTTCCGAACAGATAGATTTTTCACATTATTTTCCAAAAGCAACATCTAAAAGAATATTAACCAATATTGGATATACAGGCATGGCAAGTAAAAGAAAACAGTACCACAAATATAGATACTTACGCACTGATACCCAATATTAGTTGAACTTGTTTCACATATTGCTTTTAAAAAATAAAAGGAACAATCTATCTATCCAAAAAATGTTGTATGTACCTTTCCGGAAAACAATAAATATCCACTATCGTTGCGAACACAGTTCCAAATCACTTAAGATTAACTTTCACCGTTTTTTTAACGTATGTGTAGAAAAATTAACTAAATCCAAAAGATTTGTTGTTATTCGAATAAATCTATTATTTATAAAACTGCAAAAATAGCAATACAATTACATAATTTAACTTTTAAAGTAAAAAGTGCAAAAATAACAATTTCTGATCACACAAATCATACATCTGTGTCTCACTCTAACCTATTCAATTTTAGATATAAATTTCAGAATAGGTAATAATTATTTAGTAATTTTTTCGAACATAACCTTTATTCTAATAAACTTATTATATGGTATCTATGCATATACTAAAGTGATCAGGTACTGGGTAATACTCAACTTCCACATCGGTCCCAAATACAATGCCACCTCTAATTTATGCAACAATCGAGCATCACGTGGCTCGTGAAACCAGTGCAAAGTTAAAAAAAAACACCGAGCCACTATTCCGTCCGAAATAACCGTCGCCACGGAACGCGCTTCCGAGCCCGCTGCCCCCGGAGCGTCGTATTCGCATGAATTTTGATCAACGAGTCAAGACTTACCTTGAAAAGCGGCCTCGAAGGTGGTCTTCTCCTCGACGGGATTCTGCCCGAGCACCAAGACGACCGTCAGAAGAGCAAGGATCACGAGGAACCGGCAAACACGTAGTTCCGCCATCGTCCCGCGATGTACATACACGCGCTGGGCCCCGTAGACAGTGTTCTCACGTTTGCATTCCGCGTAACCGACGTGAAACTCTAACGAACTTCTCTCGATCGATTACTCGCCAATCGACCGCTCACCCGTCGAACCGCGCACTGAACCCCGCGAGACACTAGCCTCGATAGATCGCGCGTAGACGAGACGTACGGGAAGCCACCGCGCGGAGAAACACTGACGTCCCGCGGAACACTTGTTATTTTTTCCTGTGGACATCGGGAAGACACTATACTCGGTCAAGTGTCTCGAGGGCACGACCGAAAACTCCGCCCGAGTGTTGCCGAACCGAGGCACGGGGACGTGTCAAGGTGACGCGCGAACGTATTGAGGATTGCAACAACAGGGCGAAAAACTGGACGAGTGCCTTCTGGCTACGATGTGTGTATGTACGTATGTGTATCGTCGTAACGTATACTGATAGGTGTGTGTATGCACGCCGGCTGAGCGCGGCGACGTTTTCTTTTACCCGATCCCTTAGTACTGTGCCGTATATACCTCGACAGAGCAAGTAGTCCTTTTTGATATCCGCCCGCGGTTTAACGGTCGGTCGCGCGTGTAATGAGACCCCCAACCCCCCCCCCCCTCTCCCGCAATATTTACCGTTCTTGTTACCCGTCAGCGAATGATCGCTCTCTATTTTCCCAAGCGATATCCAATGCAAATTCACTCGACACCGTATGCATATCAATATCGGTATGCATATTTCATTCGGGGATCAGGCTCAAAGGGACGGTACACACTTTTACAGGGGGCTAAAAGTAGTAAATACGCGGATACCAAAACTGATATACCAGCCTTTGTGCAGACGGGTGGCACGAAATATGCTTTTGAGTGACTACTGGGGGACATGTTAACCACTCTTGCCGCGAAATCCGTGAAGTACGTTTTGAAAAAACTGGCATTTTATTTATGTACGTACGGTGACAACATGGAATTTGTATTTGTGAGGGAAAACACTTGAACTGGAACACAGTTTCAGGTAACTGGATACCCAAACAAACGTCGAAGGTAGAACGAATCCCGGAAAAGAAAACCAACGACTATCTTGATCCGACGCGATTCCTTGACACGACCCGGTGAACCTTAAGCTCGTGTGTAAACTACCGACCGCGGTGATCTCGACCTCTCCACCTTCCTTAATCTGCGTAGAGTTCGACGACTCGATGCGGACTAGTTGAAACCGTACTTATGTCATCGGAACTATTAAATTAACGAAATGCGCGAAACGGAACGACCGTTGCCAATACTTCGAAATTCAAATACGTTCGATTTGAAAAGAGAAGTTTAAAAAACTACAAACACACATACCAAAATGTATGAGAAAAAATAATATAGTTTTAGTGAAATGAAAGTCGATTAATGATTTAATTTTGAAATATTTATCGGAAATTAAACGAATCGAGTGAAGAAGGAAGGTAAAAAAAAACGATGTATAGAAGGAAGAAAAACGACAATTTCAGACGTCGCTTACGAACGGGCGTCTTGTTAGATCGTCATACCTGTCGGAACGGTCTCACGGTTGTTCCTCGAAACGATAGGCGAAAAGATAGAACGTCCAGAAGGAGTTTAAGCACACACGCGAACACGAAGGACGAAGGAGCTCCGCAACAGCCGTCGATGCCGGCCGGTGTCTCCAATCGAACTGCGGGGGTTGGTCGACGGTGGCGCCGCCGAGGGACGCCGAGCGTCGCCGTGCGGCATGCGTCATAACGCCACCGCCTTCGATCGGCCGCCATTTTTTTTTTTGAAGCACGTTACTAACCCCTTGAAAACATTCCACCCCAAACGCTGTTTCCCGATCGGAGCTCAGGGCCGTGTGCACACGCACGCAGTCGGAAAATTTGTGGAAAATCGGTTTCACGATTCGAAGGAAATATTTTTCCGTGACATTTAGAGGGTGTTCAAAAGTGTAACTGACCAACTTCTTCGGCATATTTAGCTTGTGATTTTGTGGCAGAAAATCATATAACGCATCGATGTATCTTAATTCGTTAAATAATTACTGTGAAAATAAAACATTTCCGGAATGACGGTACGAACTGATTCCTTTATTTCTTGTTTTTTTTTTAATTTTTCTCTTGTTATTTTTATGCTTCGATTTAGATGCTGTAGATGTTCAATTTAGAGTTAACGACACCCGTCGAAGCACAAAAATAAACGCTGCATTAATTGCAATTTACGTTTCTATGTAAATCCCCAGTCTATACCACGTGACATCATACCTAAATAATATATATAGCCATAACTAACGGTGATAAATCTATGGTGTACATGCTCTTCTCGGCTCAGGATGATCCGTCAAGTGACCTGGAAAAGTTTATCGGTACTTGAAAATAACAAATAGATGAAAAATGAAGATGACTGGAAAGCAGAAGAATGTATCCATTGTGTTTTTCTTTTGCTATGACTTTTTGACAAATGAGAGAACTAAAATGTATGACCTTTTCAGCTTAGTGTGACGTTCTAAATGTGCTAGAGATGGTATATTCCCGTAATATTCTCAATGACATTACAAGGATAACTAATTTAAAGTGACAGGTTTCCAGTTTCCGTATCGACTATATTATAGGAATGTAATTTCCTATGAATAGTACGTAAAAAGAAAATATCTCAGTAACCGATAAAAATGAAGGAATATTTGTAACTTTCTAATGACAATAACTGTTATTAAACCATTTATCTTCCAAGCAAATATTGATTCAAATAATTATAAATTGATAATGAGCGAAAACTTCCTCAAAAGTTTACATTCTGATTCAACGAAAAATTAACAACATCCTCATTGTTCAATTGAGAATATTGATACATTAATGAAATCAATAAAATAAAATTTTCTGATATTGTTCAAATCTCTATATTGTTCCTTCCCTGTAAATTTGCCAATGAAAATGCGAATTTGCGTAAACACATCTAAAGAAAATTGGAAAATTTAATTCGAAAGAATATACCCTTCTATTTTTAATTGTTTCGAGACTCCAGGAAATTATTTATTTTTTATCCACCATCAGGCGAGTACAGAATACTAGACTTGTGTACTAAATTATAGAGTTCCACTATCAGCTGTTCGATAATGTCCATAATAATAAGGTGTATCAAGTTCGACAATAATCGGAGTATAAAAGCTGTAAAATTCCGGAATGCATTTTGGCCAACCGAAATTTTCAACTTGAATGCCAACGGTAGTTGTTAACAGAGGGTGCACGAGCTTTCACCGTGAAAGAAATAAGCACCGGTGGCCGTACTTAGCCCGCGACTTTCATTTATCGTTTAAGTAAATTCAGATTCCGCTTAAACCGATTAACAACGGCCTCTTGCAGTTAATCGAGTTCAACCACCGTCTCGTTCCGTAGGACCTAAACGATAAACGGATAATCTTTTGCCGGGGAAAACTCAAAGTGACGAAAATCTCGAAGAGGGTGCAATGGAATGAAATTGTCTTAACGATGAGGCGTCCTCGGGAAAAATTGCGCGTTAAAAGAGATTAAAACCGCGTGGTTGTGGTCCCTACGAGGGAACAAAGTGACAACAAAAGTCACTGAAAATTATATTACACTCTGCGCCGTCGGGCGATTGTATATATATATATATATATTTATTAACAATATCAATAACATACACGAACAACACTATTGTATCGGATAATTAAACGTGATCCAGTGATACTCGCCTGAACTCTGGCTCGTGCACACGGGAACAACGCCGATTCGAAGTACAAAATAAGTCTAGGCAATTGTAAAAATCAAAAAAAAAAATACGTTACAAAATCTAATACTGTAAACGTTACCATAAATGTAGATTCTGCGTTATATCCTACTGGAGAAATGAACATAAATATTTGTAAAAGCACCTTACACGATAGATCTCCTCAAGAGATTCTGGACGAAGAATGCGCTAATTGGCTTGCAATTATAATCAAAGTAAAGTAAATTCCGTGTTTCTTTAAAAAATATATACCTATATGAGACGTTTTTATATATCCTATTTAAGTCGTGATTGTTATTCTGGACGGGAACATCTGTGCGGTAATCTATTCGTTTAAGAAATTTTCAAGTCAGTCTGCGAGAAAGAAATGCACAATGACGCGTATTCAAGGTACCGTTGTCGAAAGAACGTACAATTATGTTGTACGTGTCACACTTTGCGTTCTGTGTACGCTGCTGCTACCTTATACACACGATAATACCACTCGTCGCGGTTCTCACTTCCGTTAATTTCCAGCTATCACCGAACACACGGTGTAGTCGAACAATATTGTCGTACGAATCACACGCTGATAGAGTTCTATAAACGACGGCTCACGTCGCTTCCAGGCTCATTTACGTATAGACAGTCACTCGAGAATAGTACTGCGCGAAGCAGTACGAAACTTATCGCGTCGAGCCTCCGGATGCTCCTGACGCCGCGTCGCGTCTGACAGCGATATCTCTCCTCGTCGTCGGCGGATTAGACGATACGATTCAGACGATTAATATCGTGAACGGTTTAATAATTCTTTATGTTGCTCGTGAAGGTGGCCCACGAATCTTCTATGGGCGCCAGCACGGTGATGACGATCAGCGCCGCCGCGAACAGGACGATCACGACGAAGTATACGGCAAAGATGAATTTTCTGATCCCCGAGTGCTGTTGAACAGAATGTGAAATGAGAGACTGGACGGAAAATTCACGGCGCATCCAGACGATTCTTCATTAGCTGGATACTTACGGGAGCGTCCTGTCTCGCATCCGGATGGACCATCGAGCCACGAGAATGCATGTCTTTCATCGGGAATGAGTTCACCCTCTGACTGGCTTGTCTGTCAGACGCGCAACCGACGAACTGTAATACATATTAGATTGTTATGAGAGAATGTTCCACGAATCGCTGTCCCCGAGTAATGTTGGGTCCACGAACAAATTGGGTCAAACGTGTTTGAAGAAATTTGGAGGAGTTTGGACAGTTCAAGTCGCGTTTGATCTTGGACAGGCGTTCAAACTGAAGTTCGTTTACACACTTCTCAAACAATTTGATGACATGTTTCAAACTGCAAACTGGAGTCGCTGTAAACTTTTCTAACTGTTTGATAAAATGTTTCAAACTGCAAACTCGAATTGCTGTAAACTTTGCAAACAGGTTCATGACGTTTCAAACTTCAAACTCAAGCCGCTGACAACTTTTCAAGCAATTTGATGAATCGTTTCAAATTTCAGGCTCGGGCTGTTGTAAACTTTGCAAATGGTTTGATGGTGTTTTAAACTTCAAACTGAAAAATGCTTATAAACTTTCAAATGGTTTGATGAAACATTTCAAACTTTAAACTCGAGTCGTTACAAACTTTGCATAGAATTTGACGACATCTCAAACTTCAAACTTTTAAAACATCTTCATGAAATGTATGAAACTGCACACTTGCGTCACTGTAAACTTTTCAAACAATTTTATGAATGAAAAATGCTTATAAACTTTTCAAACAGTTGGATGAAGCAGTTTGACGACGTTTCAAACTTCAATTTGATTGGCAACACGATTGGTCGGCGTTCGTGGGTACAACGGCTTGAAGTTTGAAGCATTTCATCAAACTGTTTGAAACGTTCACAGTGGCTTGAATTTCAAATTTGGAACGCCATCAAACTGTTTGAAAGGTTTGAAACAACCTTTAGGTGGAGCGCTTCGCCATGATCAAATTAGGCTTGAACTGTCCACACTCTTCATAAGATGTTTGAACGGTTTGATTACCCATCACTAGTTCCGAAAATCAAAAGAATGCAAATCGTCAGAATTTTCGACAGTAATTCGTTCGAGCAAAGATAAAACGCTTCTGGGATGACTTGAGAGTATAGTACTAGTTTCAAAGCTGTCGCTGACTCAGAACATAATCATGACAATTATGATATAAAGTAGGCTCTAGATAATTGTTGAAATTAATGAGACGAAAATTAAGGACACCGAAACTACAACAGATACGTATTACTGTACATTGTTATTAGGTTTACAAACCTTATACTTCTACGAATTAAAATACTTTCTAATATTAGTCCTTTCATAGTTAAAAAATTAACAAAATCTTATTTTCGTAACGATTAAAAACTATTCGAATAAATACAGTGTGTCACACTTAAATTTGGATAAATGAACCGAAAAAAATGCATTGAATGGAATAAAGTATATAAATAACGGTTCTGTATAAATACCAAAGAAATTAGTCAATGATGTTTATTTCACGATCGCTTGATTTTTATCAACGGAGGATTATATTTCCTACTCTTTTGTGTCATGCAGGACATTCTAAGAAGTTCAATGACCCGATTATTCAAGAGAACAGCTACGCAATAAATCAACATTGCAGATTCGTTCTTTTATTTTTCGTAACTCGTATAAAGAAATAAAATTAATTTCAGAACGTCCACGATCTCCTTTCTCTAGTAGAGTACACGCATTCGCGTGTATTGAATTTGTTTTCGATTCAACACGGTCCTCGAGATTTCCATTCACGGGCTAAAAGTGAAACGACCTGTATATGTATAGGTAAAATATACAACAGGGAACACGGTGGTCTTCTCCTTTATAAATATCAAATATCGTGCTTACCGTGAGGATGAGGTGAGTCAAAATATGGAATACCACGTAGGCGACCAGAATCCAGTCGACCCATTCCGGGAGTTTGGCCTTGTTCAGTCGGACCGCGAAGAAAATTGCGATTACTGTGAAAGGAATTTCAATGCGGCGGTTAACCCGTTGCCCGTAGAACGAATAGAAAGAAAAGAGAATAACAGGAACGAGAATAATATAAAACACAATGTGGTATATCGAGGGAGGGGGAAAGGGTAAAAACTTACTGCCGCAAATCTGCGCCGCATTCCCAACGAACCAGTGCGCCCAATTGAAAAGAGGTCTTCTAGGCGCTCCCGGATGAGGTCTCATGGCCGCCATAAACGGCTGGATGAACGCTAAGATCGTCGTTGCTAATCCCAGAGACGCGTGTATGATCTCCGAGCTCCATTCACCCAGCTCGACGAATATTATTACGAACGCTGCTATCGTCATCGACCACGTCAATATCATGAAGAACCTGTGCCACTTGAACCCGAGAAACCAATTAATATTCTATAGAATCGTTACTTACAATGGGAACATATCGAACCCGCACGTAATTAACCAAAAGTATGGAACCAGATCTGATAATTGAAGAAAGAGAAAAACGTTATTGTACGAAGATTTCATACAAGTAACGTACTAAAACTGATTGGCAATGATTTTTATTCGGTGCAGTCATCCTAGCTTGTTTTACTTAAAATAACAAATACACGTTGTGAAGTTATAGATAAAGAAAATTCTGCATGCAATTAAAACTGTAATTCATACGATAGAAAAAGTAGCAGTTAATTTCGTTTTTCCATTAATTTTTCTAAAATGATCAAAAATTTTTAAAAATAAAATTTCAGAGATATTGTCTTCGTTTATTGGTATCCAGAGACATGCTTTAATGAAATATAATACATAGATTCTAGTAAGGGTATGCTTCCAATGTTAAATTAACAGTTTTTCAGACGGGTTATTTTATACGTGTTCCGCTGGATCCAGGCACCGCTACCTGAGCAGCTGTCAAAAACATCCATCCACCAAAAGATAAACTTAATGCTGAAATATTGTGAAAATGTTTCCAGGACAATTGCAGCATAAGCGTCCCTCAGCAATCAAAGATAAGCTCAATGTTATCCCTGGCCATCGGCCAAACTCAAGTATCATTCACGAACGTATACACCAGTGTACATTCTTCACAAAGTATCATAATATATTGTTTCATGCACGAAAAAAAAAAACAAGCCAAACTGACCGGTAACATCGATCACCGAAATATTCAATTAACAAATAAATCGAATCGTTCGCCGAGCGTTGCCATGGTGATCCAGTCTCGAAACGTTTCATAACAGCCGTAAAATTAAAGGACAATATATTATTCACGTATCTTATAGCAATCGAACAGCGATCGGCGTTTCCATCGAAATTTCCCAATTAATATCTGATTATACGAGGCAATGATTATCCGTTCGGACGCGTTTAAATTGTTATCACGCGTGGTCCCCCTGCCCCTAATCCCCTTTGTCGTGCCATTTATTATCGAGAAGAGGAAACGGTCAGACGTTATCAAAACCGGGGCTTCTGTACGTCGTTCCTCCGATTAACCCCCGATCCCAGGAACTCTATGGGCTCACGGACAACCGTGTCGACCCGCCAAATAGGCGTCATCACGCACGGACTCGTTGGATCATTAGTTTCACGGGGGCAAGAGATCATCTGGTACTAAGAATCGCCACGAAAAATTGGATACTTACGGCGAACCAATGGTCCTTTCCACACAGCTGCGAGTTGACCCACGTTTGCCTGTAATATCTGGCCAGGAGGATACCGATCGACGCTGTGCCGATCCAGGAGGCCAACATCAAGGCACCGTGCACACGTATCAGTACATTGCTAGCCGTTGTGTAACCACCCACGTCGGACAACAATTTCGCGCCGCCACTTGCGTCGTATACCGTGTCGTGGAAACCAACCCCGTTACCTGGACATTTCGACAAAGCGTTCAAGCGTTATCCCTATTCTACCCTCGTCTCTCTTGTAGAGGACGCCTTTTAACCCTATAGAGCACAAGTTGGGCTTGAGAAGCCACGCAAAGTCTGATGGAAGAGTTAGAGGATTTTATGTATAAATCATCTATTAAACTGTTCAACAAAATTCTGAAAATTTTTAAATGATGCAGTGAAACCGGTTTTATTTACTTGATTTTTAATTGACCAATATAAGGTCAATGTCCCTATTTCTAATCACGTGCGAATTTGTCCTCAGTGCGTATACCTTTTTATTTAATATAGAAAGTTAAATAATAAATTCGTTATACAAAAAATTGTGTGCTATTTACAATTACTGCCATTTTATTTATTTCACTTAATTAAAACGTAAGGTATAAAGAATTCTGTTAATTTACACAGGATCAACGAATTGCGTGTACTTTTATGTACCTGGTATTTAAAAATTAATGTTGATAAATGTAAGTGCAATTTGACCGCCAGAAACGCGACTACCCAAGTAGGAAGTGATGGCGAAATCGTACTGAAGAAAGAGCTACAATTTTATTATTCAAACTATATATATATATATATATATAAAAGTAATTTCATTAATTAATTGATAATTGATTAAAATCTTCGAATAATCCCAGTGTCCCTATAACTGACATCTCAAAAATTGAAGTAATTGATTTTTGAGATTAGGCTTAAGGAGATAATTCTTCATATTTAATGTACAAAACTAATTTTTTTAATGAAAGAGATGTTAAATAATATTGTGTTCCAAACTTAAACGATTATTAGGTTAAGCAACACATTTAATGATTAAATGAAGGTACTCTACAATCTTAAGGTGGCAGTAATTGAGGTATCTATCTTAATAGTGTATCGTGTATGCGTAGCATTGTTGTGATTTATAGGGTTAAACAATTCTTGAATTGAAAAATATATTACGAAAGACTGTGCAATGAGCAAAAGTATCATTGTGCAAATCGAAAAATACTTTTGGCAACGATTAACAATCGGTCATTTTAATGGTTTGAACATGCAAAAAATGAACATGGCTGATAAAAATGGTGTTACATTCTGTAGAGTAATTTAATTGTGCGTTTGTGGAATAGTTTTGTCAGGAAGAACTTTTAACGTTGCTTGTTTGGTTGCTATAAAAAGAGTGATTTAGAGATGTGTAGCATACATCAGTGGCACGATGTGGGAAGCTAATCAAGTATTTCACAGACTGTTGCACTGTCCCGACTGTGACTGAGGATACTTTAATAAATAGCAACTTTCTAAAATATCCATATTAATAACATGTCCCGTCTTTATACTGTACATAAAACGACCGAACAAAATTGTCTTTCATTTTATACGAACACAAAGTATCACATTCTCATCCTGACTTCATAATTAACGTACAATTACTTTACAATAGATAGAATAATTTTAATGCAAGATAGTAATTTGAAGATAATGGGTGAAACAATAAGTTACTTCAGTTCTTATTGCAAAGATACTTCTCTCTTTCCATTCAGATAAGTTTCTCAGGGAAACTATCCTCTGTTCTAAGATATACCGACCGTTTAATCCATAGCTTCCCAAACTTTTTTGGCTCACATCCCCTTTTCAAAGTTTTCTTTTTGTTCAACGCCCCCTTCAATTCAATCTCTATTATCAAAATTTCCAAGTGTAGTTGTGAGTGTAAACTTTGAATTTTAAAAAGTTATATGGAAAATAAAAACAATAGAATAACTAGAACGCCCCCAAGATCTCCTCAGCGCCCCCTTTGAGTCAACTATCTCTATTATCAAAATTTCCAAGCGTAGTTGTGAGTATAATCTTAGAATTTTAAAAAGTTATATTGAATATAACGAAAATAAAATAACTAGAACGCCCCCAAGATCTCCTCAGCGCCCCCTTTGAGTCAACTATCTCTATTATCAAAATTTCCAAGGGTAATTGTGAGTATGATCTGTGAATTTTAAGAAGTTATATTGAAAATAAAGAAAATAAAATAACTAGAACGCCCCCCAGATCTCCTCAAAGCGGCGGGCGGCAGCGCCCACTATGGGAACCTATGGTTTAGTCCATCGAATCAAGGTGAGATAGCAATTTTTTTTGAGGTAGAAGGTCCCCGTAGAAAATCAATGTTACGACCATTATTTGAAACAGTTTCCAATGTCATCGATCTTCCACGGGAATAGAGGAAGTATGAGAATATAAAAGGAAGTATAAGAAGCTAATTACGAACTTTTCAGACTTTTGCCAGCGGCGACAAGAAGGTTGTACGGTGTGTTGACGAGGTCGTATTCACGGCCTTGGACCACCGTGGTTTTCTCTCGCCAAAATTTACAGGAGATCACGTCATCCTTGATGGAACTCGACTCCAATTGTACGGCCCCTTCCTGCTGTAAAGGAAATCGCAAAATGGAGCAAGGTCGCCTGGGTTTCTTACGAAACCGCGGACCGACGCAATCGTTCTCATGGTAGGATTGATCGGTAACAATGTTACACACAAGCGAAAGTCGACCATCACCGCAGGGTTCATTGAATCAAGATCGTATTAATTTCACCTGTTCGCATGCTCGCGTTACGTTGACCTCGATATCGCAGCAGAAGCCTCTCGTTTTTGTTCAATATACGAAATGAATAAGAAACGGCTTCAAATACCACTTGATTAATGATTTTGAATTTATTACATTATTAACCTCCTCAGACCCGATGCACATTGCAATATACAATAATTTTAACGTTCGTTCTGAAATTATATTTTACGTTTTTTTTAAGTATTATTTTTAGGTGATACAGCATGAACAGTGAGAGTCACAACTAAGTGTACACCTTAAAAAGGTGAAGATTCGTGTAATACTTCTGTAGCACCCCACTGTTGTAAGATCATGGGAGTAATATAGTTGGATATGATTTTCTTAACATTTTCGGGAAGAATAGGCAGGCAAAAAATTCAAGAAAAATCAATTCGAAGCTATTATCACAAAATGTTGTAAATATCGTTAGACATGGTGAATATATTATTATGATTTGGAGCAGCATGGCAACCTCTGGTGTAGGACAGCTGGGTTTTTATTCTATAGTACTGTACACTAATTTCAATGGTTAAATATTTTAAAATCGAATTCAGCTACAAGTGTATTCATGGGTCTTTTAGTGAGATCATGACCCAAAATATACAGCAAAGATGGTGAAAAATTGTTTTCTGGGAAACACTTTCAATCAATTAAACCATCCTGCACAGTTACCGAATTTCAATATAATAGAGCATCTATGCGAACTGTTGGATTCTATATTAAGAGAAATATATACATATGTATGAATCCCATACTTTACAAGTGTATACTCACTTTTGACTCTCACTGTACATTGTAATGTACAGATGGACTAAAAAAAAGAACGCAACACAGCTTCAGAACAAATGTTATTTATATTGCAATGTGCACTACGTCTGCGGAGATTAAGGTGACGAGACAGAAATATTCAATTATAATCACTCATATGTCAGTGTTATGATTTCATATTGTAGATATGTGTAGACCTAAAGTTTTGCCATTGTAGTTCATTTTTATTCTGTAGAATCTAATCTTTCTTATACTATAAAAACAATTGAGAAAATTTAATATATTTTGCAATTATACCAGTGACAATAATAATCTTACTATGATAAAATGACCATTTATTTACCTCAACTTGTTAGGCAGTCATGAATATAAATTTTTTATGGCCAAATTAGTTAAAAGTGTAAAATGGATGTTTCCTTTATGACACTTTGTTTATGAAAAAGTGAAATTAAAATATTCGTCAGGTACACATGCTGCCACAAATATAATTCCACAAATCTGTCTGAATATCATCGTCTGTTTCTGCTTATCGTAAACATTAGCAGCGGTATTGTCGTCCATCATCCGACTATATTTTAATTAAAATAATATTATCGAAATCAGTGATGAACAGACACATTATATATTGCGTCATACTCAATTTCAAGTAAATTCGACAAACTTTATCAATTCATTTACTCGAAAATGAAGTCCCTTATTTAAAAACTTTACGGAACCGACTTATTTTTGCGTGAATAATTTACCTTCTTATCGGTTTTATCAATAAAATCTTTTTAAAATCTTATTATCGGTAATAATTTCTGCACTTCTCTGTTAGAGAAGCACGAAATAATGAAATCGTTCGAAGTACACTCTCATGCAAAAGCGAAACAAACTGCATGCATGGGTATTTATGAGTTCAATGAGCTTCTATTTGTTAGCGGCAAAAAATAACAGGAACGAAACTCATTGTTCCGACGGGTCATTATTTCGTGCAACGGAATAATAATGCCCCGAGAATGTTTCACCGTTCGTGAATACTGTGGTACGAACCATGGGTTGCCGCATATTATGCTTTCCAGAGTTCCAAGACATGTGTAATGCAATTTCTCCTCCTTCGTTCGCACACTCAACCACGCTGTCGTCGCCCTGCGTCAGACACAAAGGATTAAATAATAATCAGTCTCGCTCTGGAGTTATTGAAATCACGGTTGCTCCTACGCGAATCACGCTAATCCGACAAATTCAATTAGTATGATCTTTATATCTATCGCGTAAGAGTTCACTGTAACAAATTCTGATGTAAATAAACCAATGAACTTAATCATAGGTACCAGGGATAATGAACTAAGGAGTCTTGCCACTGTGAAGCCCTGAAAAATAGTCATTTTTGAGAATTTTGTTCAGTGAACGAAATGTTTCACATAAATAATATGCTGTCTATTTATCAATACACTTATTTAGAGTGTAAAACATTTTTTTTGAAACATTTAATACTTTTTATTTTATTTATATATCGCTCTGAAGTGAACGCCTTGAAAAAATTATGTAGTGCTAGCGTAGGTGATTCCAGGAGAACAAAGATCAATCATCAGAATAAAAAAATTCAAACTAATTTTTAATCGGTATATATGTCGTTATCGTCGGAACTAACATTATTTTGATCGCTAAAAAATGAACAAAATGATGAAGGTTTCAAGCTCAAATTTCGAAATTCTATGAATTTTTTTAGTCATTTTGCATTACAGAAAGTATGAAATCGTTGATCAAACATAATTTCCGTAGTCCTTACGATAGCCACTGATGTGCTTAATAACATGTACAAATTTTAGACTAATCGATCAAATAATTTTTTTGCAATCACCTACGTCAGCACTACATAATTTTTTCAAGGCGCTCACTCCAGTGCGGTATACATATATAAAACTATTAAAAGTGTCAACCAATATTTTGTTGGCCTCTCAATAAGTGTATTACTAAATAGACAACACTTCATTTATGTTGAACATTTCATTCACTGAACAAAAAATTCCCCATATATGTATAACAATTTTTCAAGGCTTCAGAATCTACCGGTAACCGAAATAAAACTCTCGTCATGAATATTGGTTACCGCGTAACCAACAAAAAATTCCTGTCATAAATAATGGTTATCGGTAACCAAAATAAAAATCTCGTCATCGATAATGGTTACATGCAACCAAAAACAATTTCCATCATTGATAATGGTTATTCGTAACCAATATAATTTTCGTAGCCAATAACGGTTATTCGTTACCAAAAAAAATGACCGTCATCGATAATTGTTATTGGTAATCAAAACGAATTTTAATTATTTATAATGGTTATTCGTAACCAAAATCATTTACACAAAGATATTAACTCTTATACCATCACTTTTTAAATTGTAGTTATGACAGTTAGGGTCTCTGAATAGAATTACCATTTTGCTGTCGTCAGATAGCCCAACAGCGACATATTTACTGTCACGTGCTTGCATCTCGAAGAGATAACGTTCGCCACGAACAAACACAGTGACTATTGCCATGCAATTTTTGGTCTCCACGCATCCTGCTGGAGTGCCGAAGCAGTTCTTCGTGGCACCGCATCCGGTGTACATAGAGTCCTCCACCTCCTTCGTCTGAAATGCAAATGGACCTGACCATTACACCTGAGAAAGGTAGACAATCAAAAATTCATAATTTCCTATTTAAAATAACACACAACCACAGTCTCTACGTTAAGAATATTAAATCGAGATCTCGTCCGGCTATTATAAACTAATAAAACTTCAAACTTCGACACTCAGAAATTTTAATTCACCCCACTGTAATGAATTTATAAAGCTTAAAACGTCAACATACAAAAGTTTCAAAGCTCGAACTAGAAAAATTTCAATTTTCCCCCATTTAAATAAGGCGATGTACGGAAAATCCCTGCCAGTATTGTTTGGATTTTTCGAAAAACAATTCAACAGTCGATCCGTCTTAATGGAGGAGAGTTGGCAGCAGTGTATACATCATCATTCATCGTGTTACATTTATTGTCAAACATAAATCAGCCGTGGGGAAAGTTTCGCGAGACACCTGAAAGATTTATTTTCATCTAAAATACCAAGATATTTCCGGCCCAAGAAATCCGATTCCATAATGGTATGTGTGTCTGTGTGTGTGTGTGTGTCCGCCTGTATAGTTAGCATCGGGCAGTTTAATGGAGTAGTTCAAAACAAATACAATAGTTCAGTTCTACAGAATAGTTCAGACCTACTCTTGAAACTCCTCAATAAAGTTTCCAACTGGGAAACCAAGGAGGGAAGGGGGTGGGGACTCGCGCGGTGCCTTTTCACACGGTGATCTTGTTTCGAAAGTGGATCGGTTAATGAGGACGATACGCGAAAAAAGACGTCACAGCCCGTATCTTTTCATTCATCGTGCGTCGATCTGGCACGGGCTGCAACGACACCCGGTGAAACGTTCACCGAGGGCAGTGTCGTCAGCGTCACGAGACGATGCAGGTTCACCGTCACGATCCATAATAAGCCATTGGAAAACTAAACCGATTTACTCCGTTTTCTATCGTTTTTTATTGATATAACAAATTTTGAACGTAGAGGGGTGAAATAATAACTTCATCCACCCTAAAATATTTCTGCTATTGAGTAATCTACGAATTTGTTTACAGAACGATATGTTTATTTGACCGAATTACGTAGGAAACTGTAGGTTTTATTGTAATATCTAAGGAAAATTTATTATTAAAAGATGGTGGAAGCAAGGGTAATAAGAGCAGCTATTAGATGTACTAGATAGTAAGGATTCCATTATTTTGTATGAAATTTTAATTTTGTATTTGTTTTGAAACAATTCAAAAGCCTGTCTTATCTCAACAATATTTGGTATATGTTTCCATTATTATCCGCCATTTTGACAATACAAAAGATCAGAAAGGTATATTCAGGGTGAATATAAGCACTAATTCCAGTGTATTGGAAGCATAGTAGATTAGTTATTAGCACGCCTAATACGTAGGAATCGTATAAAAATGTCTATAATTAATTGTTCTTCTTGTTCTACGAAGTATGTAAACAGATGTGTGAGTTACTGAATTTAGAGATATGAAAAAGTATTATTTACGGCAATTAAACGGTATCAAAATGACCATAATATGTCAGTAATTTCTTTTTTGTGGGTGAAAACGCATTAGAAATTTCAGTAACACCTACGTCTTTAAAGGATTAAACCACCTCAATATATTTAAGGAAATACCACATTTTTAGAAATTTATTTCTAAATGATAAAAACACTTTTTTCGATCAAAATTTTTCAATAATCTGTCTTGTACGTAAATAAAGGGCTATTTTCTTGCAAACAAATGAAGGCTTTGCTGCAAAGTATCGCCAGTTTGTTATTTTTTAACCTATCGACAAAATCCTACGTTGGATAACAGACAACATAGATTTATTTAATATTCTATTGCTCAAATTTTGTTTTGCATATTCTGGATCGTCATATTTAGTTTTAAAGAAAAACAGACATGTCTACGTCTTTGTTAAAAAATGTTGATTGAAAGAGTATTTTTGGCACTTAGGAATAAATTCCCCAGTATTTTTGTAACACATCAAGGTATTCTAACCCCTTTAATGACATGTTATACGTTTCTGTCCTTAACGAAATAGCGGATGTTTAAACCATTTGAACAATCTATAGGTACAAGACTATCTGGTATTGAATAGAAAAATTAATTAATAGAGATATTTCAGGTGAAACAAGTTAGTGTATTATAGCGAATACCAAAATAATAAGTTCATACAATAGTGTAGAGAAGAATTTTCAAAGTAGTCGAATTCAATCCATTAGACCAGCTGATTATCTTTTCTTAAGGGTTAATTACAGTCACGACGAACCACGGGTGGATGGGTCACAGTGAGGCGGTTGTCTTGGCAGGAAGAGGAGTATGATGACCAGCCTTCAGCTTAGACACACTTCGTGAAACAGAGTAATTACAGTGCTACGATTGTTAGTAGTCGTTACTCGACTGGTACTATATTTTTACGCTTTTTATTTGCATTAACCTGCACGTGATGTCGTTTCCGTAGTCAAGTCATTCTGTATGGGCTCGGGTAATTGCTGTTTCTTCTTGTCGGGAGATAAGATGTCTAAGTTTTTGTATTAAGTATTGCGAGGGACTGGGAAAATACAGAAAGAGGAGGAGTATTCGTTTCCGAACCGGCGAGTTGATAATGCAATCCATTAAGTTGTGCTAAGACGGTATTTTATGCATTTTCCAAACCTTCACAAACTACTCTTTAACACTAAATTACAGCAATATGGACCTAGCAACGAGCAATCAACGGATCCTTAGATTATCACACACGAGTCTTCATTTACAGAAATCAATTATCAAAGACACGTAGTTCCATTAAGAAATCTAAAATAATTTCTACATCATTTTTTCTACTTTCGATCGATTTTTCTATTTTCTATTTTCTATTCGATCGAGTTCAAGTTGTCCAATTTTTTTATTTTCGATCAATATGTCTCTATTTCACAAAATCAATTATATAGCACCTAGTTCTTTTAAGGATTTGAAAATAATATCTACACAATCTTTTGTATTTTCTATTTCTTTCCAATCGAGTTCAAACTATTTTTCAACAAATTTTTTCTATTTTCGATCGACATGTTTCTATTTCTTAAAAACAATTATCCATAGCACATAGTTCCTTTAAAGAATTTGAAATAATTTCTACACGGTCTTTTGTATTTCCTATTTTTTATTCGATCAAGTCCAAACTATTCAATATTTTCTATTTTCGATCGATATATTTATATTTTTCAAAATTATTTACCGATGCTATATACTTCCTCTAAGGAATCTGAACTAATTTCTACATAACTTTTTCTACTTTCGATCAATTTTTCCTATTTTCTATTCGATCGAGTGCAAGCTACGTTCGACGGTTAATAATAAAAGGAAATCTCGAATCTAATGTAATGAACTTTTAGTTTCACGCGTAACGCAATGAAAATGCTTAATAACTACGAATCGTTACTCTTCGGTATAATTAGGCACGATCCTCCAGGATTTCTCGCGTTAACGATTACGAAAGCCCCTGTGAATACACACCATGGATCGCCATTGTTCGCGGTTCTGTTTCGCAGGCATCTAGCCGCGCGGCTTCACGTCGTCTTTCGCGGGGGCGATAAAGACGAGTGATCCCGTAAAAGTAAATCGCGAATGGAAGCGGATGACGTACTGAAAAATCACGGCGAGCTGCTATCGTCCGATATACGAAAGTGAACGGCGAAAGTACATAAACCATAAAAGTCGAGAGCGTATCTCACCGTCGAAATTATGCATTTGTACATAGCTATGTAACTGCATAGCGTGAGCACGCCGTGCATGCATAATACATGCGACCCACGGTAACGAGCAATATTCGTTAAAACGTGAACATACTTTCGACTCGTAAATGAACCAGCACCCCGTTATATCTTATTTTTCCATCAATTTCCGCCGTGAGGGGAATCGTCTACAATTACCGTAAAATATTATGGGGGAATTTTTCCGTCTTCCTACATACCGAGGAAGCTCGATTTTATCGCACGCGACGATTGTAACGTGCGAACGGTACAGACATATTTATCCGATTTTGAATACAAAATTGCGTGTGTTTATCTTGTTAATAATAGTGAACGTTGTGCTTTCGGTTATGCAGAGTGGGCCAAAATTCGTGGTATAAATGAGGTCAGGGAGATAGTGCGGGTAGAAATAAGACGAAAATCAAGATTAGCGAAATTCTATTTACGGTTTCGTTTTCGAGGTAATCGAATTTGAAAATCTGCTGGATATACGTGGAATTGAATAGGACTCGACTGAACGCGTCTGTTCAATAAATTGCGTTTCTACTTACTGTTATGAATACACGTTTGTCAGATTAATTTTCAAATTTGATTTTCTTGAAAACAAAACCTCTAACGCAATTTCGTTAATCTTGATTTTCATCTTATTTTGAGCCGTACTATCTCCTTGGCCTCATTTGTTTCACGAACTTCTGTTAACGTTCATCTAACTGATTCTACTTTTTCAATTTTTCAAATTTTAGTACCAACACACTTAATTAGTGCACAACTTATTATATTTTTATATTTTTGTGGTGTTAATCATTTTGGCAAATGAACGGCTCGTTTGTCAAATTGTCTTGTAAATAAGTGATAATTGTCCTGTTGGGTTTAATTACACTGTCCAACAAATTAAAACTTTTTTTCCGATCTGTAATATCCACTAAGTGATCGTTGTAGAATTTTTCGTTCCAAACACGAATCCAGAAGCAAAACTGTTCCATGGCCTCCAATTTTTCAAAATCATGAGTTTTGTAAAACCGTAGGATTTTTGGCAAAAGTGAGATATTGCGTGAAAACTAAAAACACTAAAAAGTTTAGTTCAATTTTAAAAAATAGAGAAGAGTCTCCTTAATATATTAGTAGATACAGTTATTAAATTCTTATGTTTTTAATGCTAGTAATTACACAAAAAAATAGCCGATATGCGTACTCTCTACACACTATTTGTACATTGTTATAAACAGTTCTTTACCTAGCACGAATTCGCTATACATATAGTACCGAATTCAAGAATTTAAATACATTCCACAGCTATAAAAATACTACATTATGCATTCCCGCCGTAAGACATGTGGACTGGTAAATATGATACCTCAACTCGCGGTCATAGGATTTTACAATGAAAGTCAAATGAGCTTGGAGTATTGGAAATTCTTAAAAACTGTAACTTGAAGTTTTCTATGTTTGTAAAATTATAGGACGTCTGTTTTCATTTCTTCAGCATAAAAGTTTGCTGACAGAAAAATATACGTGTAATATTTTTCAAAGAAATATAAAAAATATAAATGACAAGTGTTTGTTGAGCTTCCCTCTCCCGCGAGTAAATAGGTTCAAAAAGTAAGAGAAATAAAATGAGAAACAAAGAAAAATGTTATTCGTTCATGGTATACTTAACAAAAATATACATTGTTGGATTTTTTTTAAAAAGAAAAAGAGAATGCCACATCACGCGACACCTCGAGGCGGTCACCCATCCAAGTTCTAACCGCGCCCATCGCCACTTGACTTCGGTGATCAGACGATAACCGACAAATTCAAAAATGAGATTTGACCGTTGGCGAAAATTGAGTTTTATACATTGATATAAACTGTACAAAAACTTAACACAACAATTTGATACGGAATTAAATTTCTCGCAGTCATAGACGTTCGAATACATTTTTCCATATTTATAACTGGATACTCGTAACGTTTTATCAGATCTTAAACTCTCCTCTGTCTTTTAAAACTAACTGAACTTTCGAGCGTTTTTAGTTTTCACGTAACACCTCATTTTTTCCCGAAATCATACGTTTTTACAAAATTTCATGTTCTCGAAGAACTGAGGGTGATAAAGCGATTCCGTTTCTGGATTCGCGTCTGAGCCGAGAAACTCTACAAGAATGGCCCAGTAGATATTACAGATCAAAATTCATGTTGAACAGTGTTATTCGTGGTTCACGGATGCTTATGAAAATATGGATTTTTATTAATAGGTTACAGAAACTGGAATCACAAAGTAATTTCTCGATTTTATCGAGGGTCTCGTGAAATTCAACCGCATTGGTTACTTGGGGAACGGGAGAGATCCATCGCCTGCTGGAAACCACGATCACCAGTGATTAAGTTGAAAAACGGGGATCAATTTTCTCGAAGTGTTTCCACGTTACACATGAATTTCACTTTGTCTGTGTTCCCAGTCGTGGCTCGATCATCGCCGAGCTATGATTATCGGGCGTGAAAAGCACGTTTGCCTCGTGATCGGCGGTCGAAACGTAATGGAGGGAGACTACTTACCTCGTAATCGACGGTCGGGTTGTAATAGGGCGGCGTGGTTGTCCGGAGCGTGCTGATCGGCGTGGAAGAGGTCAACACGTCGATGGATCTTTTGTTAACGTTGACTCGTGGCGATTCAACGCCGACCCAGTACGTACCGTAATCCTGGGCGAAGGTGGACCTGCGGCAGAAAGAAATCAGGGGCGACGATCACCAAGAGGATCTATATTTGTCTGACCAGTGAAAGGGGAACTGAATGGTTCGAGTAAAACCCAGACACACTGTGAATAGGTACACAGACCACCTCGGTGAATCTTATTCCTGATGTTGGTGAAAATTACAACATTCACCGGTGAACGTATAGGGTGTGGCAAAAAAGTTGTCAGAAATGAAATGGGAATAAATAAGGGAAGACAAACTATTGAATCTTGAAAGCTGATTTGTTTACTGAAAAATCATTGTAACTGGAATATAAAATATTGTTTCGAAATGTTTTTTTTTTAAGGGCGTCAAGATATATTTGAAGACGCATCATTGCTCTGGATACTTAAATGTTTGCTGGGCGTGGTGTGGAATGTTCATCATACTGTGACTACTTTTTATGGGAATATCTAAAGGACTGAATATACAGAAATGCACCTAAAACCATCCCGGAACTGCAAAATGCTGTATTGAAAACGATTATTGTTATTCAACACGAAACCTTCAAGCGTGTAATCTATCGATTTAGTTTCAGAATGTACTTTGTCATCGCAGCTGATGAAAAACACTTCAAAAATATTTTATATTAACATTTCAGTTTATTTTTTAGTAAACAAATCAGCTTTCGAAATTCAATAGTTTTTGAGTGATTCTAGACTTGAAAAATGATAATTGTACAAGTTAGATTGATTAACATTATCAACATCTAATCTAAGTTATATAAATTTAGATATTAATAATGTTAATTACACATTCTCTATATACACAAAAAGTAGGTTCCAGTGTGATTAATGTTGTAAATTTCATCAACATCAAGTTTACATAAGTTTACTTCCTATGACCAGACTGATTTAAAAGAGAAGAATTCAGGGAAATAATATATTTCAGAAAGAATAAAAACACATTCTGATGTACAGTACTGGACAAAACTATGACAACTGGAACGTAATAATTTTTCGAAGATTAATTTCTTTACCATTTTTTGTACTAATTAATGAAGAGTATGATTTTCCTTAAACGTTATTTTCTTAAATATTAGTAACTTTTTAAATAAAATTCAGAACATAAATTGATCTTCAAAGAATTATTACGTTCAAGTTACTATAATGTTGTCCGGTACTATTAGAATGATTGTTTCGATACTTACACTGATTGGAAATATTGTAATTAATTCGAATACGCATACCGTAGTTTTCGGTATACAGTACGATCCAGAGACAGAAGAATATTCAGAGTATTACTGATAAGAAACTTTTTGTAAACACGGATCTTGTAGCTACTTCCATTCGAGATACAATTACTTGTAATTTAAAACGTAACTCGCAGGAAATCCAATATGGCGTCCGTAGAGTCCAACACAACCGAATTCAAGCCACTAATTTCCTATAATATCCAAAACATTTCGTATACTTTATTTTTTTTTTTTACCGAATTTTTTAAATATATCATACCGATATAATATATACAATCAACGTAAATAATTTATACATTACACAATATTACTGTAACATCCAATACAAAACTAAATTCACTCTTTCACCTACCAAATTACCCTACACACAAATTAAATACAAATCGCTAAGCTACAACGAAGTACAAGAGAACTCTCACGCGTCAAATATTAAATAAACAAAAGGAACCCACACCTCTTACCATGAACAAATCATGAGAATCGCCACGCGCAAAATTATAGTGCAGCCGCACGGCTCTTTCAATCGCTCCGCTGAAATATATCACGATAAGTTTCATCTATCATTGCCTCCACGGTAATAGAACTCTCTGAACCCGAAGGAAGAAGAAGAAAGACGAAAAAAAAAGGGGGATATGTCGATTCGTATTCCACATCTCGGCCAAGATAAGCGTATAAATTACGGCCTTCCGGGTCAACGTGATGTAACCCATTACCGTCCAGGCGTGGGAACAAAAGATAACAATGTTGAGAACGAATAAAGTGCCCGAACCCGGGGTGGGGGATGACGGCGCTAATGTCGAGGAATTGTTTCGATAGCGGGTAACTTCGGAATCAACGGCAGGTAAGCTGGGAGAATTTTACGGATAGGTCTGAAGGACAATTTCTGCCGAACCGGTTATTTATGGTTATCGGCCCCGGCAAAGTGGCGAAGTTTTAATGGCGGTTGGGCGAGTCGGGTTCTCTGTCCCGTATTAATTGAGCATTCAGGAACAACCGAGCGGCCTGGCACCGATTATGAGCGGAAAAGTTTTATAACGAACGTCCCCCAGAGCCCGTTCCTCGCACCGTTACGCGCGTTATATTGTATTCCGTAGACGAGGCCAATGTAACCCGTGCCGCGTGCCACGCGTTCGTTCCTAATCGTAATTCATACGCCGGTACAGATCGCGGCATATTACGTGCCCAGCCGGTACATCCACACGCCGCACTCGAGACCGAGTCCTGACCCAGAAATTAAACGTACAATTAATCGTCGCTGCCATAGATGCCACGTTCTTGGATGTATTTCGGAAAATTGCTACGGATACATCGCCGCTGGTTGAAAGATCCACTGGTATGCTTCACGATAACAATAGGGCATTCCATTTTAACCTGGGTACACCCAAATCTGTTTTTTTGGCCCTTGGTTGACACACTTTGGTCGAAATAACCCAACATTTGACTTTGAAGTAAAGTGTTTGATAAGGAATCAAAGAGGATAGACGTGTATTATATTTGTTGTTTGTTAATATTACATAGTTTTCTTAATAAATATTGTTCTGTGTTTTGTAAATGAACAATATGTGCGGTGGAATATCCCGTCGTATCAGTATCTTCGAGACATCAATAATAAGTAAATGTCAATAATAGTAATTTCAGGTGTCCTAAAAAATTTTCTTTCGGAATTATTTTTCTAGAATTTTTTTAATCATGATGATACTTTAAATGTTAATTTTCTACGATGAAAACATATTCTACGATGTCCAAACTGTATCTCAGAATTTTTACGACTCGATTTAAAAGATAGTTTTTGAACAGCAAGTGATTGGAAATTGGACACCCAGTGTCACAACTGAGGGTTGAAATGTAGTTTTCTTCGTCATAATATTATTCTATTTAATAATGTTTATAATCTTTCATGAGATATCATATCAATTTTTAGTGTGCGTCTTTGGAATAACTATGTAAATTTTTAGTAAGCGGTGCCACCTATCATTCACCTGAGCAACTTGAACGACAAAGTACTGGCACCTGTTAGGTGTTCTTAAAGCAGAACGATAGGCATATTAGGGCTAATCATTTATGGAACAGTGAAACCCAAAATCAATCGAAAGTGATTTTCTTATTAAAATACTTAACGTTAATGAGCTTAATTGTTTCATAGACATTTAGCTATGTATGGTATTCTCTGTCCAAAATTACGATCTATCAACTTTATTACAATCGTCAACACCAGTTGAAGTCATTTTGACAGGAAGAGAGAGGAATAGTAAAGAGTCATTGATCTATAGTATAATTATTTTGTCAGTCGTAAACATTACGTCTGTAAAGAGGGAATACTGTATGTCATCGATCCGCAATATGAAAAATGTTAAATTAAAAATTTCAATAATATCATAAAGGATACTTCGTGGATATGACCTAATCTTAAATGGAGGCGTTTCAAGCATCTGAAGGACATTGTCATTCCTTCGACACGGAATCTTATGCTGCCCTTCACGTAGCATTGCTTCTATAAAACAAGCAAAATGCACTGACCTACAAAAGCGACCGTTTCTCCTGACGGAGTTCAGATTTATTAAAGTCCTGATGTAAGTAATCACAGACCTAAATGTTCGAACAGTGCGAGACCTAAAGCTTCGTACACGGAAAATTTCTTGAAAAACGAAAATACAGGAAAGTCTCGATGAGTGTTCGACAGCTCCTCGGCACTTAACATTAAATATTTCATAAACTAATACTATTCAAAAAAATATCATTGGCTTCAGAATTCCAAGCTCTATCACTGTGCTAACCGTCATTAAAAAGTCAGCGTTACACCTGAGGACCTGTATGCACAGTGATATTCTGTGAAGCCTACCAGCAACTGCACGGAGAATTGGTTAATTTTATGATTTAATGGTAAGGCGAATGGTGCAAGTTTCAAGCGGTACTGAAAGTGGAAGACCTTTAAATCCAACAGGTCGTGACAGACTGATACGGATTATGAGGGAATTTAATGTGAAAGTACGCTGCCACTTGATTTTCGTGACTCGATCCACCTTGCTTCCGCATGCCTATCAGTTATTCTCTTTACACGCCCAACAAGCATACCGTCATGGTGCATTTCCCGCACCATCTACCACTGAAGCAAAACAAATTCATCTCCCTAGAACTCAGTCCGCTCGAACCTTTCATTTCGTCCACCTCAATAGCACAGAATCATTAAAAGCTCCGTAGAAACTCTCATTCCTGTTCGTGAATCATCAACAATATTAATGAAAATGTATTGTGAAGATACTCACTTGAAGACAATGGTGCCCTCGTAGTCTGCAGGTGCCTCCCAATCGAATTCGAGGTTGTGCTTCTTGCTGGTATTCGTGTGAGTCACCGCGTTCTTAACAGAACAAGGAAAATATTTTATCGACGGGCGAAACATTGTTACGCGTCCTTCGACAAACGCGCGACACATGAGTCATGTCAGCCTTGAGATCCTTCGCTACGATTTAAACAATTTTATCGTAGTAGACACGTTTGTACGAATTATCGGACTTTCCAATCGCCGAAGGAGAGCCGCCCATAGTTTCGCGATGGAATCTTTTCTAATATTAAATACGCTCGAGGCAATTAGAGGATCCCACCGTGGAGACTTTAATGCCCGGTGTACAATGTAGAAACTACAACATTCTACACGAATTAGGGGGTAAAAACATTCTACAGGAATGGGAGTGAAAAATTTTCTACAAGACACCATTCAAGTCGTAACACCACAACAAAAAGTAAATTTTTTTCGGAGCTAAAAATAAGTTTAGGTTTTTACGATATGCATAAGTGTTTTGCTTGCATCTTAGTTAAATGTGGAGAAACGGGATTCTACATATCCTCTTTTCATTATTGTTTCAGACCATTCAATATGCAATCTCATTTGATATGAATAATATCTCCGATATTGAGAAAATCACACATCCGAAAAAATTACTTAAACGCAGTTTCCTAATAAGTTAAACCGAATATCTGAATTGTTGTTTCTGTTTCCATTAGATTGCTATAAAATAGAAAGGAACTGTACGTTCAGAATAACAGTATACAGACTATGGGTATTCGACTTTCTACATTTTTTAGATAATAATTTCAAGGCCACTTTTTGAATTCGAAAAAGATCCTGTCTTTTTAACATAACGAAATTAGACAGCAATCTAATTATTAGTGATGGGACTGATACGATATATATCAACGATACTCAAACAATTCAATACCTAAGTACTCATTATCAGTGAAAAGTATTGAAAGCCTTCATATCAGTATCAAAGAGATATCGATTCTTTTTTTGATACCTATATCCTTCGATATTCTTCGATACCAGATCAAAATTTACGATCAGGTATCGATTGTACTGGAGATACTTTGGTATAAGTATCGAAGAGGTATCGATTCCTGTTGATACCTATATCCTTCGATATTCTTCGATACCAGACCAAAATTTCCGGCTAGGTGTCAATTGTACTAAAAATACTTTCATATAAGTATCGAAGAGGTATCGATTCCTGTTGGTACCTAAATTCTTCGATATTCTTCGATACCAGATCAAAATTTACGATCAGGTATCAATTGTACTAAAGATACTTTTATATAAGTATCGATTCCTGTTGATACCTATATTCTTCGATATTCCTCGATACCAGATCCAAATTTACGATCAGGTAACAGTAACATCGGTGCGGTATCAATCCAAACACTAATTATTATTGTTAAATATCTTGTCATCCAATCATTCGGAAACTTGATCCCCTAACTAACCCAAGCAATCCATTCTCGTCCGTGCACGGAACATACGAAATCGTGACAACAAATCGGCCTTACCTTTACACCTTCCGTGCACTCAATGGTCCGCGCTGACTCAGGCAAATTCGCGAATTCTCCGACGAGTTCACCGGTCGCGGAGTCACGCGCGAGGATCATGAAACCCTCGTAGGCGAGACCTTGAGGACTTCCGAGAATCAAGCGGACCCTTCCTTGTCCCGCAGCCGGCAACACTTGGTAAGGAGTAGGGTGAGCTTCCTGGTTCGTGCTTCCGGGGTGTCGAGGCATCAGATCCTCGCACGCACTTTGCGGCGCTCCATTGGGCAGAGCCAATATGGCCGCTGAGAGGAAGCTCAGGATGATTAGAATCTTCCCCGTCGTTTCTACGACAAACAGATATTACGTGCAATAGAGACATTGTATTTCAACCCATCGACTGTTTATCCCGTGAGTGAAACTCACGCGGAACATCAAGTATAAGCTCTGGAACCAACATGCAATACAATCTTGGCCAAATGTATTAGGCACCCCATAAAATATGAATTTTTAAAAAATATTTTTGTATCAGTAGAAAATCAAACTATTGAAATGTGAAAAGAATTATTTTTTACTAATTTTGTCAATAGTTCGTTGGGCCACCCTTTGCCCTAATGACTGAGAATCACAGCAATTTCTTTTTGACTTTTACACAGTTTACATTTTTTGGCATAATTCAAGAAACCTAATTTTTTTACATTAGCATGATGTCCACTTCTTAACGGATCACACGAGACCCTATTCCTATTACTGTTCGTGAGTTCACCAGTTTCAAATGCCGTAGTACACTCTTTATGCAAAGTAATATTTTTGGTATTCAAAATAAATAGTGATGAATAATCAGTGGTAGTTCAAATATCCATAGAAACAAATCGACAGATAGCGTCATATTTAATCAGCGTGATCAGTGGTCACAATTTTACATTTCTTATCATGAACAGAAATAATTTAAACGGTAAAAGAAATGTACACTTTTTTGACGGCAATGTCTAATTTTATTAGACTGTCAAAGCGGTAAATTCGGGTCGTTTCGGAATGAGCGTACAACAGGTATGATCGATTGTCGCAAAAAATATAATAAACGTAGATCCGCTTCCTAATACTGAAGTAATTAAAACAATTTTAAATTCATATGAATAATACATCGTATACATGATACATGTGATGTAATTATGTAATGCCTGCAATTAAGTTCAAGGAATACATTTTGAGCACTTTTTGTACAGTTAAATTGTAAATAAATTTTATTTCTATCATTTTACTGCATTACGTAAAGTTCATTCCATTCGTCCTCTTAAAAATAAATGCTATGTTTGCCGAAAAATAAATCATCGGCTAAGAACAGCTCAGAGCAGAAGACTTATCGAGTTTATCAAATGAACCTAAAAATCAATTTATCAAAGTAGTGGTTACACGCCTGTATTGTGCTCTAATGCGTGTAACAAAGATTGACTGTTACAAACTACAAGTAATACACTAATAAATACTTCATTCTTAGAAGGCGAACATTTTTAATATTCATCCAAATAACGGTGCCTGGGTCAGTCTGGACCTCTATCCTTCTTCCTTTTTAAATATACCTTCGAATGCAATGGTTTAAGACGACCTACTTCTTTACATAACTATGATTTATAAGTTGATGATTTAGATATGGAGCTTTTGAAAATTCGGGTCCAAACAGACCCAAATACCGCCGTCCAAAGTTTAAATCCGTTAATACAATTGGACACCTGATTTTTGAAGTAGATACGAATTAGACCGTATTAAATCGTAGTCGAACTTTTTAGGGACACTTGCGAGACTAGTATTCCAGCAAAAAGAAATCCCGCCGACGATCTGTCCTTATACGAGACAGACTAGTATCATCCGATCCTCTTTTTGCCCGGTTCAGAACGAGGAATAATTGCCGCTAAGAGACTGTACAAGGATGTCGCTCCAATTCTCGGAACATCTACATGTATAATAAAACAAGCCGCATTTTATAACACCTAAGAATTTCAGTCTCATTCAGCGATGGAAGCTCCTATGACTTATACGGTCGGTTTTTCTGATGCGTCACTCGTACCGATTGGACTGTTTAACGCGCGCGAATGCTGTGCGTTAGTCATATTTTCCTGTTCTTTACCTAAAGCGGTTTTATACGCATTCGAGGCTGCATCATTGTTTTCAACTTTCATACCTTTGTTTCGTCGAGTCGTTAGCGGTTGTGTTAACGCGTAATAAATTCGATGTAGCATTCAGAAAGTACAGAGATGTTAAGAATGGAAAAGAAATTATTGAAAAGAGAATATTCCAAACATTTGTTGACTTTGAAGATTTGTTACAATCAGAGAATTTATTAGTCATTCTATTAACACACTGTCGAACAATTTATCGCCGTGAAGCAACAACTTCCAGGGTCGTGTTCGAAAGGATTACATAAGAGACGAGATCTTTCAATATCGTTTAGGAATGTGCAAGTAAAGAAATCCTGTGGGTCGTCCCGCAGAACTCAATAGGTGAAAGTCAGCATCTTTCATACGTGGGTTAAGCACAGCTCGAGTCATTCACTCCTTCCGCGCACGTTGCTTGTAGACGGGGCGTTGAATCATCGTAAACACCAAAGCCGTTAATATACATCAACGACGGCTGGTTTGAGATTGAAGCATAAAAAAAAAACTGTAAACTAGTTGTTTGACTAAGTGTCAGACGACGTCGAGGTCAATGAAACTCAACACAGAGAGCCTTGGAGCTATCGAAACTGAGACAGACGGTATAGGATCGATAGAGTCCAATACAAATAACAGTGGAGCAAAAGGGACCTATACAGACACCCTAAACAGTTTGATCTAAATCACTTTAGATGGACTGGAACAAAAAAATATTAACTTGGGATCAATTGGAATCATCAGAAATAACCTAGTATCGACTGTAACTTTTAAAGGCTGTCTGGGATTAAATAGAACAGACTACATAGACAACCTCAGATCGATCGACACCAACACGAATAGCCTAAGATCGATCCGGAACAGTGCAAGCAACTTCAGATAATCTAGGGTCTTGAATAACCCTGAAAAATATTGGGTCAAATACACGTGACTCCAGATCGATTGAGACCACTACAGATCACCTGGGTTTCAATTGAATGCAACACACGTGACTTACGATGAAATAGGACCAACAAGGACATTCTCGGATCAACAGGAGCTGCCAACTATGATGAAATGTGAATGTTATGAGCAACTTTAAGACCGATACAGAACGATCTCGAAGGAATTAGTACGAATTAGTATCAAACGGTTGGCCTTGATCTAGTTGGAACAGAGGTTGTGAAAGAAAAGTAAGAACTGAGACTCGATACAGAAAATATTCCATCAATTAAACGTGTAATACACATGCCCTAAAGGCCCAAGACACTCCAGACCTTCCAGATTCTCAAAAGAATTAAAATAGAGGACACCTTATGCCTTAGAAATCTTTTGGGCTATCAAGACTCCTCAGGGTCCTTGGACCTCTGAAATCACCATAGTTCCTCAGACTTTGAAGACTCGTCAAACCTCAGAGATTCCCAAAGACGCCAAATGCTTCAGACCCCAACCAATAAACTTTTTGAAAAGTCCTGATTTCCCAAATTCCCTAAACCCCAAAACTCTGGTGAACCCCAAAATCTTCGAAACATATAACTCTTTGCCTATAATGCCTCAATATCGGTTGAACAATAATTTTCTTTTAAGTATTTCGAAACGCTCGCTACAATGTAGTAATCAGCACAATGCTGATGCAAGTGCTCCTTAGTGCAACAGCGTGCACAGACGTTTGGAAAAACGCTGGTAACGATATCTTGAACCGCTAAAACTTTCACGCGATGAATTTACGTAGCGTTCTTACAATAGTTTCACTTGTCCCATTGGTCATAATTCATTCCACGCCATTACTTGTACAATTATCCTTAGAGGATATCACTGATTATTACTCCATGTTCGTTATAAAATATTCAACAGTCGTTTTAACAAAACGAATTGTTCTGTATCTACCTAAATATTCGTTTTATAAAATATCGAACTCTTTTCGTATACCGGTTTTATCATTTCATACCATACTCAACTTCCATCGTTACAAGTATTGTACAACATTTGAACTTTTAAGAGAGTCTTAACGCGCTAAAGTGGATAACGTCACTAAATGTATGTCGTCTTCCACAAAGATGCTACTTTGAACAAAGTAAACCGCGACAAAAGTGATGATAATAAAATATTGCTCCCGTGTCCACGATGCCCTCCATCGCAAACGGCCCTTAATGCACCACAATTTATTTAGATCATGAGCACGAACGTGCGAAACGCTCGCCACGGACATATACTTTTTCTTGTCGCGCCCGTTCGTTCCTTTGACAGCATCGCGGCCGAGACAAATGTTATAAAGCTGCGAATGCGTGGCTTCATATTGCAGCGAACATTTCTGATGTCACGGAGAGAAAATATTCGAGCGGCGAAGTCTGATGTACGGCTGTGAAAAGCGCATAGCAATTGTGGCGAACCGTGGATGATTTTTCATTTCGCGTCACGGGTAAATCAAAACCAGCTGTTTCCTTTGAAACTTCGGAACAATGAAACTTTTTTTCCCTTTATCGACATTAGCATTCAAACCTTGAAAACTCGCGTCATCGAGCGTATAATTACAGGGGGCAGGAACAGATGAGCATCTGTTGTATAATTGATGATCTTTATAAATACTTTTTTTTCTTACGTATTATTTACAATATGTACAGAGATAACGTGATTCATGACACATGGTTCATAGTAATGTTACAAACGGTACCGGAAGTAAATAACAGAAGCTCTAATAAACGTAGACTTTGAAATTATGCATTGCTTTTTCAGGTATTTACTTTTAGGTTAAGAGGTTGATGACAGACATCCAATATGGCCGCCAGTGGTAACTACTCTGATAACCAGTTGTGCACAAGTTTCGAGCAAATTACCAGCAATAAATGACAAAAGTTGTCTAAAAAACCATAGCCATCTGTTTCCACATTTGACTTGGGTTTTGCAGGCAATGCCAGCTGACAAAATGGTAAAGCAAATTGGCAGACAGTCTTGCAACACAACCTATGTCAAATTAAGGGCACAACCGAAACAAGGTTTGCGCAAGTCAATTTGCTGCATATGTTGCTGCCAATGTGCGCGCAAGGTATTTATAGCAAATCTTGCATAAAACTTGCAGTCATAACTTTATAACAGGGATTGAAGAAAATTTGGTTTTGCAGATTTGACGGATTAAGTAAGTAGTTACACTCGCCTAGCATAATAAGTTAACTATCAACCGTATTTATTCTAACATTTCGTCAAGATGCTGCTACAATAAATGTTGAACACATTAGTGAATCTTCAACGTATTACAAAAGAAACATAAGAACATCTTGTCTCCTGACAATGGGACGTTCATCATTTTTCCTAAATTCAAACAGTTTAGAGGTGAGCGTTAACTTATTTTCCGAGGCGACTATACAAACAAAACAGGAAGTAATATTTAAGAACTAAATTAATATATTCAAAAATATTTTTAGTTATTTAGGTTCGAAGATTTGATCCTTATTATGAACAAAATAGTACATATTGAATTACATTCTAGAAAGACCACGATGAAGCAGATTACAAACCAGAAGAATATATGCTTCCAGGACAATATTACCATATCTCAAAGATATGTTCCAGGTAATCCTCTAGTTGTCTCGAAGAATAAATTCAGAATGAAGTGGCACTTCAGTGTACTCCTAGAAAATTGGAAAGGGAATAATCCAGATAAAAATGGATCCTTTTAGTGCCATACGAAAGTAGCTTTAAATTGTTTTCTAGGCAATCCCCTAACCAGTTGAAAGAGTACATTGCGAATGAAACAATTTTCGATTTTATTACTAAGAATATTAAAGATTTACAGGAACCCACGAATAAAAAACAGAAAAACGCGTGCACGTATTACAATAGCGTCAAACGAGGACATTGTTCTTTCGCTGGTTCTCGTCCTAATAGGGGGGAACCATTCGGATAAAAAAATCCATTCATTAGAATGGCGTTTGAATGACAGATCAAGAGTTAAGAACCACGGTAATCACGGTTCGTCGGCTATTATCATGTATCATTACGGCATTGTTCGAAGGAACGAGCACAAGGCTTCCCGCATCGTGTTTTGCGGTTATTCTCCCGCGCCCAGTGCTCACGCATCGATCTTGTATGAATCGCGGCTGCATCTGTGCAACAGATACTACTACTCGGGCCACTGGTTAATCCGCATAGTTGCGTTCGATCTCATCTATAAAGGCGGAGATTTTCTAATTTGAACGGGATCGTACTTTCATAAATTGGAAAGTGAAAACAACGTTTGTACTCCTTTGTTAACCTCCTTTCTTTAACACGTTCCGTACCAGGTTGGGTGACCGGTGACCCACGCTGGAACTTCCGTTCAAACCATATTTGTTTATAATTACAAACAAAATCAATAATAACTTTTACAGTAATGTAATTATCATCGAACACAATTTATTTAGTAAATATAGTGAACACACAGGGTGTCATCGGTAACCCACGCTGAAACTTCCGTTCAAAGCATATTTGTTTATAATTGCAAACAAAATCAACTTGTATAGTATTGTAAGCATCATGGAACAAAATTTATTTAACAAATATAGTGAACACAGAGGGTGTGTTACCGGTGACTCACGCGACCTGGAGAACAAATCACATAAACTGGCTTGGCACGGAATGCATTAACCCAAGTTTTGAAGTATTTTCATTAAATTCAGGAAATGCCAAGAAATGGCAGAAATTGTTTCAAACTGTGACGAAGAGTTCCTGTTTTAGACAAAATGTTACTTTCGTAAATGAAAAAAGGAAAATTCAATTTTGTTAGACGTTTACTTTTATTAGACGTCTATTTTATAATGTTTCAAAATTTAGAAGGTGATAGGGACTGATTAAATGTTTTATAGTTACAGAGAAGTGTTTTTGATTTGAGCATATTCGTACCCTTCTATGTAAAAATGTATAAATTTGAATTATTATCGTGAGATTTAGGAACGCATGCAACTATTTCCAAAATATTATTAGAAGGCTTATGTATGACGAAGTTACTATACGTAAACAATTTTTAATTGCAGAATAATGGTATTTTCGTAAGGAGAAATATAGAACAGACCGGAACATTCATTTCTGTTTAATGACAAGTGTGCACCTACTTAATAACTTTGATGCTTTTAGCAACCAAAAATAGGATTTTTTGTTATTCCGTGACTGTACTCTTTTTTTCCCTTCCTTCTGATTACTCCACTTCCGCGATCAAACAGAAGTAATAAATTTTCCATTAAAAAAACAAAAAGACCAAGCGGAATAACATCCCGATCGTAACGACACAGTTGTTCACCAGATACAAATCGAGCAAACACAGTGAAATATTTGTCCTTCAAGGATTCTCCGAAACAGCGGGCTGGTTGTACGAGTGAGCGGGGACAATTTCGCCGTACACGGAAGTGCCAGAAATAAAACCGAAACAGCGACTGAATACAGCGGTTTTGTCTATCGTTTTAAGGCTATAATCGTGCACCCACGCATGAATTATACATCACGAGACGGTGTATGAGTCAGCAGCCACAGGCTAAGCGTTACGCGTCGTTTGTGCAAATAAAATAACACGTCGACGATCGATCATTCGATTTTCATTACCGAGAAATTGAATTACGAGACGCAGGTGCCAGAAACGTTCATGAAAATGATCTATTCGTTAGTACGAAGAATGAAAACGCATACGTACACGTAAAATTAGTCACGAATCAGATAAACCGAAGCCGGGACTAACGAGAACGCAACGTAAACAGAGAGAAATGCTCATTCAACGAAAGTCCTAGATTCCCATCGAGCGTTCCACGTATCCAGACTCGTTCCTCGATACAGTCGGGGTCATACACCTCGTGTTTGGCGAACATGTCGCTATAGTAACTCTCCTGTCCTAGAAATTCCTCTGTGAGCATTGTACGTACCGCTCCGATGATTCTTGCCGCTCGTGGCTTGTCGGCTTATGTACCGACCGGCAAGAATCATTCCAAACCTCGCGTACCCTATATACATTCTAACGTTCGCATATCGAACCGCAAGCTGCTTTATTGCTTTCGGTCGTTGCACTTGGTTTCTGTATTTGCTTCGTGTACTACAAAGCTCCGATCGAGGATAACCGCCAAATTGTTAACTTATTCCACGTTTAGTTCGCGTATTTATAAATCACAGTCCTCTCGTTTCGGAGATTTCTTATTTTGCATTCTTGTAATTCCTTGTTTATGCGAGATCGTTGCGTCAGGCAGGTAAACCGCAAATTAGTTTATGACTTGTGCAAACTGGTACTGATAAGCTTCGAGGAATTAATAAATGTTTACCTAGCGCTTAAGGTGTTCCAATTCTTAACTGTTGATAGCTAATCAAAGCAAAAAGACATGTATGTACAAAAATATTTAAAAGAGTTGTTTCAAATGTTCCTCCGATCGGCTAAAAAATGCTTTTAATGTTTTCATACAGCTCAGAGTCAAAACGAGAAAAGAATATAAATTACCGATAAGCACTACTATAACTCTTTAACTACTCATGGGCGTAACCAAGGGAGGCAGATGGGGCACTTGCCCCCCCCCCCACCCTGGGCGGAAAAAAGTGGCTTTTGCCCCACCTTATAAGAAAAAAGTTGGATTTTGCCCCCCTCCTCCCTTCCCAGAGTTATAAAATTTTTGCGTAATATTTAATATTGCAGTATAATTTGAAACACGTCCAACAGCCTCTATTAACAAAACGCATTCATTTTCAACGATTTATGACTTTAAAAACAAAATAAAGTGTGTCCGGCTACGTACAACCTTCTTCACTGTGGCTTGCAATGTGATAATATTTTTGCCCCCCCACCCCTGACAGAAAACCTGGCTACGCCCATGCAACTACCTCTTTCCAGTTTCATAATAAACTAATTTTATCAAAAGTATATGTTTTAGCGATAGATTGTTACTAAAAGTCAAACATGAAAACCATTTAAGTTCATCGTGTATCTAATATGGTCCTGAATTCCCCGCAAATATTACTTTCTCGGGCGCTAAGGATGAATAAATTGGTTGGCAACGATACATTTTGTCGTGTAGAAGAAGAAAGTAACATCGGCACGTTCCAGCAGGCCGTTGGAACTTTCTAAAATATTACCGTGAGGTTTGTTTCTTAATTGCGCGGTGAACGTTACGCGGCGGGATAAACTCGATTTCGCGTAATAATGCCGCGTTTTCATTTGTCCGACAAGGCCGGCCCGGGCCGCGCGGGCCACGTGCACGAACATAAAAACGTTCCCGCTGGTGACAGGTGCACCAGGAAACCCGTTTTTTCTTTTTTCTTTTTCCTTTTAAAACGGCCGACTGTAGAATTTCGAATGAAGCCGACGTTCGCTCGTGTCGGTTTTTTTCCTTTAACGAACACTTTCCAGAGATCGTTTTCCCTATTTCCCGAAACCTGTAGAATTTCATTTTCCGAATCGAGGGTCGCGCGAAACGGTCGGGTGTCTTTCGCCGCGGAGAACGAAGCGGTCAGCTTTCGCAACAAGTATTTCGTAAACGTAGAGATCGAAACATTTTCGCTCGTTGAATACCATTACCCCGAAAACTATCGATTGATCGGATACATACTTGATACATTAATGAAGAATATGTATTGGACGTTGGACTTAATTAATGAGAGGCAGTATTGATCGAGAGCAGTAGCTGTCAGGTTCTGCGGCGAGCACATGCATTTTTAATAAAGCACGTTGAAGTAGTCTTAATGATCTTAATCATCAAAATAGTCTCCATTGCATTCAAAATTATTTTCTATTCGTATATTTATTGACTGAACGTTTCCTATAAATTCTCTGAACGTTCCCCATGAATTGACTGCACGATTCCAGTGAGCTAACATTTCCCATATTCAACCGATTTTTTCTTCTCTATTACGTAAACCACGTACCATGCTTTTTGATAACTAAGGATATATCTCCCTAAAGTTTAATTTAAATTTCAGTCTATTCCTCTTGTCCTTTGACCAAGTTTGACTACGCGAAGCGAAGAATTGCGAATATTTCCTCCTGCGTACGCCATAATTAATTCACTTTGTACCATATGTAGGGCACGCATACACCGTCAGTCAATTTTAAGAAACCAGATCACTTTGAAGCTAAATAAATCGCGAATATAACGGTCTGTACGATCTTCCATTAAGATGTAAGCGCTTAGGACTCTTCGCGGGAGTAGATCTATCAAGGAACAAAGTGCCTATCCCGCACGGTGCGTCATTAACTGCGAAACAACAGATCGGTACTCACGGTTTGTCATGTTCGTCGATTCCCGTTGATTTCACCGGTGTCCGTCAGAATTCTATTCGCAGCGCAATAAACGCGCGGTCGGCAAGCCGTGAAGAGTCACGTGTAGCGGAACTCCGGTGTACACATAGAATCCCTGTTGGTCCTGTATGGCCCAAAGAAGCGCGTCACAGACGCATCCTCGATTCACCGTGATCCTCGGACTTCACCGTTGCATCGATCACCACGGAACAATCACAAACCTGGAATCGACTCTTGGTGTATCTCTCTCTTTCTCTCTCTTTCTCGCGACCGCGGGACGTCGAGTCCCGACGCGGAATGCTTGTCCTCCGGTGAATCGAATCGAGCCACGCGATCCTTCGGATGATCGTCGTCGATTCACGCCGATCTGTCGACACAGACTGTCCGTGCCACCTATGCGTGCCCCCTTCGAAAGCCCCGTTTATCGCCACGCACGGCCGCAACGAAGGAAAAGGTGTTCACCAACGTAAGTTCAGTTGGGTCAAGTGTTTTCCCGGCGTAGTCTCGAGTAGCACTTGTTGATTCCGGACGAGCATAGTTCTGACCAGAACGCCGTGAACCACACCTTACGAGAGACTGTAGTGGATACACGGATCGAGTTGAAAGGCCCTCGCCCGTGAGACCGCGTCAGGGCCGTAACAATGGAACGCCGACCGCGGCGATTCCATCGATCCGCGCTTCCTCCGATCCTTCCTACGGACACACGCAGGTAAAAACAAAACGGCGTAAATATCAAGTTATTTGGAACGTTCGTGGCGTGTTTAAAGTATGTAGAATAGCAATCCATAGCTTTAAATTTGCATCTAATTGCTCCGATACTCCACACTTACTCCTGTTTTTCGAATAACTTCAAGACACCAGACACATACTTCTATCCTTTTTCTTGAAAACTCTACAACGGTCCGTCTATTTCACCTTTTTTTCTATTTAGGAAATAATCATCTGACAGGACTGTATCTACTAAATATAGTAGGTACTGTAAAATTTGTTGATACGAACTCGTTCCTTATTTTTCTCGTATCCCCGAACAAATTAAATAATACACTTGTAATGGAGCTACGTACACAGAGGATACGCTCGAAATACACCTGAAACATATTTGAAGCTTTAATTGAATGTAACGCTTGTTTCTAATTATTACTTAATTAAGATGTTACGAACGAATGTCATCGATTGGAATTAGTATGAAAACTCGTTCCTGTTCAACGTGTACGATAACTCATAGTTGAACATTATTCAATGCCAAGAGCCACGGAGTTTCATGTGTACGGGAACGTAATAACATCGTCCAAAATACGTCTGCTCGTGAGGTACATAAGAAAGACGACGGTGGAATGGAAGTGCACCGGCATCATGGTTGCCACGAATTCTTCTCGGTTAACATACAAATTGCCATCATTCGTTATCTTCCGCGCCGGCACCGGTACAGGCCCCTCCTCCGTAAGCCGATTTAAGCGTTCGTTTTTGGCCGACGCTGACAACTGCACTCTTTAGCACGCGAGAATACTTATTACGTGTCAAATCCTCGTTCCCGATAGAAATGTTAAAGGGAGCGCACTGGAGCATTGCGGAGAATGTTTAACACGAGGCCACGCCTAAGGTTCGATCTCACCATAGATGCGCCGAGCGTTATGGGTTTAGCTTTTGCTCCTTGGGTCGAGAATAGCAAAGCCAGTCGGGCGACGTACCGAAATGTCGATCCGTGATCAAGGTGAAACATAATATGAAACTATCAAATATCAAGGTGAAGTGCAGGGTGGCACCTACGAATGTCCAACGGTCATTGGTACAATCTACCGGGTAACTCCAAATTGTTGTTAAAAAAGCTTACGGTCGTGTATTCGATTCCTCAACGTTAACAAAAATAATCCAATGTGCCCTGGAATCATTTGGGTGTATTGTGGACCTACATATAGAATAGTAGATTGCTAATGATCTCTATTTCTAGTAGATACCAGTATTTAGAAGATAATACCATGGAAGCCTTACTAAATGTTTAACGTTTAACGTTAAAGCTTTCTTCCCGTAACTCTTAATAGAAAACCTAAATTTCTTTTTGGTACCTCTGTGAATTAGTACCAAACGGTGTGATTTTGCATAAACATCCACAAACTTGATAATAATATGAATCGTAATTGATACTTCCAAGTAGATTACAGAAAGGAGCCTGATATTACAGTGTAGTAATCAAATGGATCTCAACAGCTATTATATTGAATACAATCCTTATCCCGATAAGTATTGAAGAAACTATTTTAAGCATTATGATCTTTTAATAAACAGTCTATTTACAGGATCCAGTAACTATACAGTAATTATTATCTCAATCTCCTTTACTATCAATCTAACTTACTCGATAATGCCAACTGAATTATTATTTAAAAGTATGATTGATGTATCACCAGTTTACGTATTCGTCCGATGTCAATAAAACGTTAGAGGTCGTAGGTGATTGAATGGAGTGTACTAAGAAAATAAATTTTTTAAGAGACCCGTTATGGCCAAGCGTTGCATAATTAGTAGGCACTCGGCGTACACGCTTAAGAAATCATTCAGAGACGACGGTCTCGAGCCGTCCCTGAGTTGTCGTGAGGAGAGAGGGACTAACTACTTGGCTTGAAAATGGGGGTACGACGTACCGTACGTTCACCGTGTCGGCGTTCACCTCAGTTATATCGACGTATTTTTCTCGTTCCGTCTCTTTCCTCCATTCCAGCGGTTTCCAGAGGCTCGCTTACGCGTGCATTACATGCCTTTCCATCCCTCGCCCGATAACCGCGTCGACCTCGAAAAATTTCTGCCGTACCATGCGGATTGATCACTCTCGACCTCCATCGTGTCGGATCAACAAAGGTCTCCATCTACTAGAAATTCAAAATCAATCCTGGTTTCTATGCATTCATTTCCTACAATCTTACGAGTGCTCTAATTTACTTTCATTTCGATTTTATGTGTCGCTTTTATGATTTAATCGCTGAGATACCATACCATGATGCACGATCATGTGGCATAGGCACAAGCGGCGGAAGAGGACAGGCATGGATTTACCGATATTCCAACGAGTGTGAATCGTAAAACCGGTTCTGAAGATGAGCGTGTCCAGAAAAATTTAAAGAATGAATGGAGGGGATCGTTTTAAGTGTACAGTTGGTCGGGTCATCGTGACATTTGAGCATCGTGAACGGAAGCAGGAAGGGCAAGAAAGAAATTTCGTTGAAAATACACCGTCGGTATCGCCGAGATTACCGCCATCGTCGTTAGATGGAACCAGTGTCCACTCGTGTGATTTTCTTCGTTCAGTTATCTGAAAATATTTTCAACATTTTGTAGAATATTTTTAAAATTCTCCTGATTGAATAATAATACTATAGAAATTATTTAATACAACTGTTTTAAAAAATATAATAATTTAATGCTATTTACTGCATATAATATGGCTTTAATTAAAAAAAGAATTTGAGAACGAAACATAATTATACTCACAGAAAGTCATTACAACTGGGAAAGTATACATTTGGTTGATAGTTTGATATTACAACTTACACACTTTTTATCAATTCGACCTTGGTGCATCAGCTCGTATAAAAATAGAACCTGCGTATACTGTTTAAAAAACTTTTTCTCGCAAGCTACAAAAAGAGTGACGTCACGGGCTTTCAAAGAGCGACCATGCACTCTTTTAACGACCTTAATGATGGAAAAATGGAACATGATCATTTAAAGAGAATTCAATATGATAGGTACTTTCTATACTACCTTTATAATAAAAAATTACTCTATAAAAGATAATAGTATTCATAAAATTTTGCAACTTTAAAAACGAAAATAATGACACTGAAGTCTGAAAAGATTCAGACTAATGTTAAGTACGCTGAATACATGACACACGAATTCCATTTCTTAAGATAAAGTATACCTCTCTCAGACATGATTTAACCGATTACACCATCTTCATTAACTTCTTCCTACACGCGACAACTGAAATGTCACGCGTACCATTCAAATGTCACGATAATAGAAACAATGTTATTCGCTGTAGGTGGGCCTCACTGAGAATAACAGGTATGCTACACAGGCAAATAGCCGAATGTGATCGTGAAAGAATCTTAAATGACCTTGGTTCATATAATAGCAAAAGTAATGGTCATAGAATTTAAGTTTGTATGATGGTTTTATATTTTGTTATCGATGAGTGTTCGGGATTGGCAGGAGCACAGCATAACGTTCTGCGCATTTGGGAGTGCGCGCAGCATCGAAGGGCGCGCGTAATTCAATTCAAGCTAAAAGCGATTAGTGGCGCGTCGAAATCGGTAACGTTTGCGTGAGGTACCTCTATTCTGCTACGACGATAAGCGACCGAGCCCTTCGTAGATTCTCTCGTCTAATTACGCATGTATCTTACTCTAAAGCATGGCTTTGGCACTTGGTACTCTCGTATTATCCTATGAACTCACGTTCTTTGGCAAGATGCCTAATGGACTAAACTCACGTTAGTCGCTGGTTGCTAGCCATTAATAGTGGTAAAACTTCTCAGATCTCTTCATTTTAGCTTTCGATAGTCCGTCTCGACAACCACTACCCTGGTATTATCTTCCTACTAGGAACTACTCGGATCTCCACTTAAGCTAATTATTATTTTACATAATGCACTAGAGCCTACGGAGCATTAATAGTGTAAGTCAGTAAATATGCTCTTAAAATATTTAGACGTTTAAAAAATATTTTGTTAAACCCCGTCTGAACAGATATATGTATATCATATAAGTATATCTAGATATGCCAATTATATTGAGTATGATTATTGTATGTATGACATAATTCAGTAGAATAATCATGCTGAATATGCTCAATGTATGTGGATAATTACATCGATATAAATCAATGGTGACTCATATTGAAATGGTGTATTCAAAACTTTCTGTTGAGTTATTAGTTATTAGTGAAACTAAAGATACAGTATTTATGTACAAGATAGAATAAGCTTAGAACCATCTTCCTATTATGTTAACTAAAATTTATTAAAAATCGACGTACACTTAAATTAAGGAAAATTAATCTAGGAAAAAATCAGGAATGTTAATAATATTTATGCCTCACATTGATAGGCAAGTAGGTAGACAGAAAAAAGATACGTTAAGATAAATAGGACATATGTTAATACTATATGTGAAAATTCAGCAAATTCCTAAGGCCTATCTTATTCCTGTCGTTTATAACAGACGGCATCTAAACTCTACTTAAAACCTCAATTTGAAGGACAATTTTTTGCCTGTTCGCATGAAATGACATATACCAATATTTGAAGATTATTGTTAATTAAACGAGACCATATTTAGTAAGATAATCTTAATGAAAGCATAATGACTATGCTTCATTAACGTCTCCATTTTATCGTACTTTACTCGGATTCATTAAATACAGATGGGTAAAATCCACTGTTGAATTATTACAATATTCTGATTTAGTACTAGTCTAATACACCATACATAAACCCATAATGGTCAACAGCCGAAAAAAAACAAAGGAAGTGACACCTGGGCTGAAAAACATTCAGGATTCCCCTCATTCGGAATTTCCAGAGCCAGGGCCGTCCGTGGCGGGGGTGCAAAAGGTGCCACCGTACCTGGGCGGCCAAACTCAGGGGCGGCCACAGATAATTTATTATATGTAAAACTTGGACTGATAAGAATAATAATCATAAATTTTCTGATGATTATGAAAATTTTAGACCAACAGAATTTGATCAAATTAATATTGTGTATGTAATCTTTGTAATAGTACTCATATACAGAAGAAACTAGGTATCTTTATGGACAGCCCAAAATAGCACATGACATTTAGCCATATTTAGTGGATTGAATTCGTGTAGGTAATTAATGATCGCTATTTGTCAACCACAACATCATTATTACAAACATTATGCGTTAGTTTCGTACTTATATGTGGTATAAAATATTTATTTTAAATAAAACCATTAATTTTTCAAGGATCTTTGTTTCATTTTATGAAAATAAACATTAAAAAATATGTTTTATTTTCATAAAATGAAACAAAGATCCTTAAAAAATGAATATTATATATAAACACTGCATATCAAATTTTTAATTGAATAATATTAAATTAACAAGGGCGGCGATACTGTTTTTGCATCCGGATGGCCAACAATCCAGGAACGGCTCTGTCCAGAGCCCGAAGATCACTTGATGAATCATCGTCAAACTGGACTTACCGCTGACCGCGAACCTGTTTTGAAGCGTAATCTCGTAGCGGGAAAACTGCGCGAGCGCATACCACCAAGGACACGCATGTGTAATCCACATTCGCTCGTAGAAGTTTCGTTCTGCGACTCGTCTCGTGCGGACGCGCGGTCACCGTTCGAGAAAGCCGCGAAACTCGACAAAAATTCGTGGATTACGGTAAACACGCAAATGTGATTTCAAAACATTGCGACAAGTTGTAAAAAACAGTATCAGCGACGACTTCCGGCACACCTGAACCAATCGCAGAACCGCCTGATAACGCCGACCAGGTGCCATGTCAGTGTTCGCCTGTTGCATTCGTCGGGTGAGTTTCATTATTCCCGTCACGGACGCTTCTCGTGCACTCTAACTATTCAAGCCAAGTTGTAACGCGTTTGGATGACTCGAGCAGACCTGACTACGGTCAGTAAACACTGTCAGTGTTAAGGAACGCTGACGATAATACCGATTTCTGGACTATAACGCGTTTTTACGGGCGTTGGCTTCTTGTGCTACCGAAGTTTTTATTTAAGTCTATTACACTTTTAAACTTTCGTCGTTGTTAACTCTTGACTTAATTGAAAAATCGAAGGCTTAGTAATCTGATACTGTGTCTCGTTCATTTTGTTTCATTTGACGTTTTATAACCACAGGTTTTTGTTTATGTTAATAGGGAAAAAATTAGAGGACAAGATTGGTACCTTTCCTTAAAATTTCGTTCTTTTGATTGTTCTTAAGAAATCTTTGGACATCCAAGAAACAGGTTTCGCACAAGTAGGTATACATAAAATTTCAGTCGTACTTAATAAGCTTCGCCCATCAAGTTTCACTTATTTTCAAGTGACAAGCCCGTCAATGTATGCTATCAGATTGTTCGAAAACAACACACTTGTAATAGCACGTGGAAACAATAAATAGAGTAGAAATTTTATTTCATAAAAGCACCGTTTTACAACTTAACTTGTTTGTCTACTATCTAAACAAAATTTACAAGAATAGGATCCATTAGAAGCTCAAAAATCTAGAAGCATCAAGATACGTGTACGATTTTCAAATTTACAATAAGAAACCTCTGAACCTCTCGAACACACCAATACATTAAAGCAAACATACAAGAAGAAGATACAAAAGTATCGTATTATATTTCACCATACACTGCTCAAAACAATGCCACCACTATTACCGATCTCCTAATTCTTTTAAGCAGTGTACATATCGTTGAAGACACTTCAGCTAAAAGATCACGAATTCAGTAAACTTCGAAGCACTGATTAACGAAGATTCAGGTACGAAAAGTAAAACAAGAAAATAAGAAATCGCTTGTTTACAAGCGAACAAAAAAAATCGGTATCACGTCGATTTTTCTACGACCACGGGCTAGCCTTAATTCTTGCTCACCCCTGTCGGTCAAGTGGCAGAATCGGTAAACAGAAAAACGAAGTTACGTTGCGCGTTGCGGGGCACGTCGGGGACCGGGAGCATGTTCAGTGTAATGCGCTAGGGTGAACGGATACATTTTCCGCTACTTAACGGATTTCATGCTCAACTATCAAAGAGATCGCGTCCTTGCTCTAATCAACGCCTGTATTAATAGAACGCGACTTTGATTCTGCGAATTTTCTTGGAATTGTATCCATCTCTCCCTCTCTCTCTTCTGCAGTCATTGTTTCTCTATGGCAGATGCACAATAAAGTGACACAAAGAAAAAAAAGGGACAAAGACTGGCTAGATTGCCCTTCGAAGAGATAGTTCGAAAAGAAAGGTGCTGTAGCTCGAAAAATTGGCTCGTGATCAAATAAGGTATAAGGAATTACTTTTATAACGAACCCTTCTTTTTATAAATTGGGAACGTTAATTCGGTTTCAAACGTGGTTTCTTGGCCGAGCGATCACGACCAGAAATCATTGATCCAACGATATCTTTTGGAAAATTCGTTTCGTTTTTACTGTTTTGACGCGTTGCAGAGTCATCGAAGAATGGACGAAACACGTCAGCAAGCATTACTGCAGGAGGCACCGGAAATATCATGGGAGAACACGTTAGGCGCGCCGAACGGGGTGCCCTTTGACGACGATACGAAGGAGCTTCTCAGGACATGCTTGGATGTCTCTGCACCGTCACCCACGACCCTGGCACAAATCATCAAACGAAGCGAGGTTTTCCCTATAAACTTCCCGATTAACACGACAAGATGCTCCGCTTTGAGGGACAGAGGAATTTCCACAGAGATCCTCGAGGTTCGTCCTTCAATCTCTCAACTAGAGATTCCTGTTCTCACTTTTCCTTATTATGCATTGTTTGAAAATTTAATGTCAGTCCAGTGCGAATTTTTTACATTCATAGACTACACAATCCTTTAAAATTCAATATAAACGTTCAAATTTGCATGAAGTTCAATGAGCTTTTTATTGTTAATTTCGATGAACCAGTTCATACAAATTTATATATTTGCATAAGCATGCATTCTCTACTTATACTAATTAATCGTTCACTATAATTTGAATGAGTTGACAGTAGAGTTTAAATTTCAAATGTCTTTCTTAGATATTGATTAATGTACGCTTTCGATTTTCATCGAAATAAATATTGATATTCTCGGAATATATTTACTCTTAAGGACACGAATGGTGTATTCCGTACACCACCAGTATGGATACGTTTTCTATTTCTCTAAATCTTTTACTCGAATGATGTTTTTTTTCATGTTAATTATCTGCCATTAAAAATGGAAAATTGTTAAATTAGAAGAAAAACAATAAGCCTGGTGATGCCTTTTAAAATTACGAAAAGGAATGGCGTATTCATGTTCCGTGTCCTTGAGGGTTAAATTATTCACTCATTGGTGTAGACGATAGATAGAAAATGTCGTTATATAATCTCTTCTGATGGTTTTCTATCTTCGATTGCAGATGAATGCGAATTCGGTTTATCCGCTGATACACGAGGCAATGCTACCGTTGATCGCGCGATGGCTGAAACACAAACAAACGTGCGGCAGTGCAATCGAGAGAGCAATGTACAAGGATATGGGATTGATACAGTTTATTCACCGTTTGTTGGAAAAACGAGCGGTGCATTTCTATGGGTCGGACGATCGATGGAAATTGATTGACGGGAAGACGGGCGTCGATGGATGGGAGCACGTTGGTACCGATAACGAGAAAGAGCCTCTGGTGTGTATATTTTTATTCGAATGATTGTTCGTAAAATTGAACAGAATATAATAATCGAATTCTTCATTATTAAATACAGTATGTACAAGATTATACACAAATTGCCATACTATTTGACTTGCGTAACACAATTTCATTTCGATAGAACAAAAGCCTAGAAGGTAGCACTTAATGGGTGACATGTAGAATACGACCTCCATTTTGTCTCGCGACCTGTAGTTTAATTGAATCGTTTTGATTGAGAGTTCAAATGGTATGACACTGTGTGCTTCGAGATAAGAGCTATACAATTGTACTCTTATGTTTTTCGAACGTAGTTTTTTTTAGATATTGTAAGATCTTTATATTGGATATCGTTAAATTGAAATAAATTGAAATTTATTGATATAAAATTATGTGATTTAAAACTTCAGTTCAATTAAATTTAAATCTTTTCGAAAACAATACGTAAATATTATCCAACAATTAAATTTTCCGAAACTGTAATGGAATTTACATGCTACTTATAGTAAATACAGGAACAAACAAGGAAATAAATTGTATCGTGACAGAGCTACCAGTTTTTAAATTTTCGAAAGCTTGCATAAATCTTACATTCAGCTAACGATATTATTATACTGAATAGAAAGTATACATATTTGTTCCTTTCCTGATCATTACGTTATTTTCATTGATAGTTCAGAAATACCCTCTAAAAATATTAAGTGGCATACATGGTAAGAATACCAAGGTGTCTTTTTTAACTGAAAACGGTCCAATATCTTCTAAGGAACTGAAGATATGAAAAAAAATGTTCTTACAATAGTTATTTGGTATCGGAGGGGAAACACTACGTGGTACAAACAATTTTTATATGTAGAGTAGTGGGGAAAATTTCAAGGTCAAGTCAATTCTCTTAAAAGAAATGTCACATTTAATTCGAATGTTATATCGGATAAAGAATATAGCATTCCGTTTTAAAAAAATTAGCTTAGCCTTGAAATCCCCCCACTGGGTAGATGTACCTGCAAAAAACAACTTTTGCAAGAATGTATTTTTCATGTATTTAGTTCCTTAGGAAATATTCCACCCTTTCCAATTACAAAAAGGCATCCTGTATACTTACCGATTAAAATGAATAACATTTAGACAGGGCATGAAATAGGGGATTAATTATAGTTGTTCTCTTTAACGACAGGTCCTGACGAAGTGCTTGTCCTACGACGAGATCAAGCTGTCCGCGATGCTGGCGATGTCCTCCCACACCGAATTCATAAACGACGGCTCGCGACAGAACAGAGGCGTCGTGAGTGCCGATCCAGACTCCATTCAACCGAGAGGAGTCATTATAGGTGTCGTGGGAACAAGGTTTCGCTATGTTTATTTAACGCTCACCGTTAACAAAGCTATCGAATGCACCGGCACGTTGCATTTTCGCGTCGAGTAAGCGCGCGTTTCACCTTTCGTACCACTGTTCGCAGATTCAAACGGCCACGGCTCATGGAATACCAAGACATTCTTATCACACCTCTGCAAAATACCTTGGAGAACGGGTGAGTTGTTCAACATCATTTACAAATTATATTTAAAATATAAATGCAGTATAAATAAGAATTCATAATTGGAAATAGTTAAGTTTGTATTAGGTGTAAGCATAATAATGGCTCTCGCATATGTACGAGCTGCAAAAAAAAGTAACGGTAATGGCTTCAGGGTTTCAACGTCAAAAATTATTCGGCGTCTTTTATCGTAATGATCGTTAGAGTGAAAATTTAATCTCGCTAACTTACTGGATACAATTATTCTAATCTACATTACAAAGTTAAATATAAAATTTATGTTAACAATATGGTTTAAGGATACTTAGATTTTTACAGATAGTTCCAAAGACCTTTAACAATTGGACCAACAAACTGTCTATTTGTAATTTTACTGTTTTCCATTTGTCGATATTTTTTTGTTCTTTCGAGTTCAAAATTCTTAACAAGACGGTAGTCCAACTGAATTCGCAAATTTGCAAAGTATCTCAATGATTCTTACCGTTCGGATCGTAAGGTATTCAAACGGAAACTACAAAACTCACTGTGGCATCATATTCTAGACTCCAAAAAGGACCAACGTTTTAAATATTCGTTACAAGTTACAAAACAAGACATTGGGAATGTAAATTAATCTATCCGATACCTAAATTTATACAAAATTTTACCGTTCAGTTTATTGACTTTTAATATTAGTAATTCTTAAAGCATTATATTAGATTAAGTTCTTATGTGAATACACCAAACGTAATAAGTTAATTGTTTATTCTTCATGGTATTCGTATAGATACGGACCACCTAACACAGGCAGCTCAGATGGGCAACGAGATATGCGTCTTTTATGGGCGAAATTTTACGGCGAAGAGTACCTGCCACTTTACGAGGAAACAGTGAAGCGTGTAAAATCGAAGGAGAATAAGAGATACCTTTCATTGTCGAGTCAGACAGTCTTCGATATCGAAAATTACATGAAAAGAACACTGCTCACCGTCGAGATTATACTTCTCGAAGCAAACACGAGAGCTGAGAAGCAGAATACAACCGCCTTTTTGCACGTTGTAGGATTTGGTCTCGGTTAGTAACGAAATTACTTTTATCATTAAGATAATTACATCCTCGGTGTCGGTATTACCGACCGAACATTTAGAATCACCCTCCAGTTTAAGAAAACTAGAAATTTCATTGTTAAATAAATAAATTCGGGTAGCTACAAGTGATTAGATATGTATGCAGAAAAAGATTTAAAATTAACAAAACCTAGTAATTACCACTGGACGTATCAAATGAAATCAGGATAGAACATATGCTTGCTTGAGATTGTAATAAACATCGAGAGACGCAAAAATTTCAAACTTTCTACTTAGAAATTCTAAGCATAGTTTTCGTCGACGTAAAGATCCGAAACACAATTTTCCAGGTGTATGGAAAATAATTCAAGACCAAGAAATATATTTCTTGAAAACCTTCGAGATCGCCATCAGGAAGATGAACAAGAAGCTAAGATACGTCTCCGATATAATGTTCGCGTACTTCGGACAGCAGAAATGCGGCGACGCAGGAAATGGCGACTATCTCGGAGGTTTGCTAACGATTTCCTTTTGCTATCCCAACAAGAATGATTGCCACAAATTACCCGTAATCTTCTTCCAGATATAAAGATTCATTTCGCTCTTAGGGAGCCACACAGCAAACTATTCAGATCCACGGACGTAAACAAGCTCCTCGTTGTGACTTACGCGTGGGACGGAAACGCGCTGCCAGGTCTGTTGATTGCTCTCGAATTACTCAATTTTCGATATTGACATACAAGAATCGATGATGGAAATCGATCTTTTCGTAGGGAACGAGTTTTGGAACAAATTCCTAGCATCGAGCGGTGATTCTGCGGCGGCGTGTAGTTGCCAAATAGCTGAATTACACACATCAAGAATTAATCCCCGAGCATGCGGCGCCAGCGTGCACGTGGCCTCAGCTGAGCACGGTATTTTGCACATATCGGACTACGCGAAGCTACATCTTACTTAGGTGAACTTCTGACCACGTACTATGAAGGGACGGTCATCGAAATGGACGTGTCCTTTGGAAATTCGATTAAATTTTAACTCTAGAACAGGGGTGAGAAACTGGCCGGTAGGCTGAATATGGCCTCTAGCAATACTTGCCTGCTCAAAAGGGTCGTAGGAGAATGGTCCCCTATATTATTATAGTTGGGAGCTGCTAAGTTGCCGAGCTCCTACAAACTGAACGGTACAGGGACAAGAAACGAAGTTGTTTGCGGCACCTAATCCCCTCTGGGGATCCCCCACTAGCTGGCACACTGCATAGGCGTAGAATTTTCGTATCCGCAGGGGATAAAGTGTGTTGTCCAGAAGAAGTCGAGGAATTCGATTGGTTATATCCTTCTAAGCCCAGCTTCTCTACCAAAACCGTGGGATATTGGACACACGACACACGTATTGTCTTTAATGGCCAGCACGATGATATCGATCAATCAGACCATGCAGCACCGCGTGACGAAGGACGTCAGGCGGTGTGGGCGACCTGCTCCTCTTGCCTCTGTGCCGTCCCACCGATCATCTGAGCAATGCACTTTATCTTTTCTTAAATATGTTATTAAAGCAAATTTTTATTGTTTTTCTCAAATTATAGCAATGGTAATTAGTAGCAACAGGTTCATTAAAGTTACATTTCTTTTCGTCTATGAACAGTCATTTTTTAAACTGTATTTCTTCCGTACAGCATTGATTTTGGCTTTTCTCTCTCTGTTGCGATATTTTGTATCTTTTGTATTCCATAATATCGATTTTTTTTCATAAACACTGATTAACTCATTGAATTTGTTCCTGGACCAATCTTTTTCCCTGGCATTGTGTTTGTCGTACGACAGTTCTGTATGTAAATGATAAAATATTAATACAACGGAAAAAACAGTAAGAAAGAAAAAGGTATGTCATCGACCCACCTCGACCGCGCCCGGGCTCGAACTAACGCCAAAAATGCAGCAACAGGTTCTGTAGGTAAACATCTTACCACTATGCTACGCATTCGGTTGTCGACACTGGTCATTTTTTAGTATATAAATGCAGACAGTCTGACGTTGACCGAATTACGCAAATGACAGACTTCAACATTAAATATCTCATAAACTAATGATCGTATACGGTTGGAACTTCGCTAAAAAGTTAACGTGGCACTTGCGAATCACTTATGAGTCTACGTTTACGCCAGTGCGATCGATTTATCCTTCTATCTTATTCTGTTTGGTTGCTTGTTCTTGGCAACTTCTGTCGCGCAATAGTCTTATGGTTATGATTGACTCAGCCAATAACGACAATACGTGTGAATGGAGGCGGTGCAGCGAATTTGATTCGTCGGCAACTTATGAGCTCCCAACTATACCTATTTAACTACTCTGTCCATAGACGTGACAGTGAAATTTTTATAAGTGGTAGCCAGAGTTGGGCACAATTTTATTCGAATAATACATACTGAAAAACAGCAGTATCTAAGGACGTCACTCTGAGCCTCAAACAGTTAATGAGATTAAATAATTGTTTGCCAAATGTCGACTCATTCATGAAGTATTATTTTATTATAAAAATTGGAATTTCCACGTTTACACGATTAAAAATGACAAAGTACTTTTTTTTCACTTTTATTCATTATTTGAAACTCTTTATCCAGATAATGAATTTGCCCATGTCTGGTGGTAACAGTAAGCCATACGTCCCGAAAACATTAAGATGGTCTATTCGAAGGGCACTCCACCAGATCATGACCTTCCCTTGTTACCACTACGGGGTTGACATTCGTGTAACGACGATTCTTGTTCAGGAGAGGGCTGGCCCGCTGGGCACCATCGGTCAGCGAAGACCATCCCGATCACCTCGCAGTCAGAGGAGCCGCAGCGCGGATGTGGACTGTTTGAAGAAGTACACAGAGAGACGAGTGGAAGAGAGACGGCACACAGACGTGGTGGACACGAGCAAGCTGGATCCCTCCAGGTGGATCCCGCTGACGAAAAACATGAGTCGTAGCCAGCCAACGGCGAAGAAGTCGCCGCAATCGTCGCGGGACGACGAGAAACGTCGTTCGGTGTCGATCGACGTCGAGGAGACGATCAGTGATATATTGAAACCGTGCGCGATCGCGCCGAAGAAACTGACTCCTACGAAGGAGGAAGAGCCGAAGGGAAACGAGGAGAAAGATGAAACGGCGTCGACGACGACGGCGGCCATATACAGAACGACGACCGGCAGGAGTCATAGCGCGGACGTCGGACGCGTTAAGAATGAAAAGCTCGTCGAGGAACGAAGGCATACGGAAGCTGATCCAAGAATGATCGCGACGAGGTTGACAGAGCACATTTTCCTAGTCAAAAAGAAACCAATGCCGTGAACGATATACATGTACCATATATAACAAATCACAATAATAATAATAATAATCGATCAAATTATCAATCGTTAACACGTGAGATAAGTACCGAAAAAAAAGAAAACGTTGCACTAACTGTAATCAATTATAAAGGCGTCGTACATGTTACTATGTTTGTCGTATGCGAATTTAATGTACATATAACATACGTGTAGTCGATGTCGGTCCGTTGTGTGGATAGAAATGTATGTGGCACGGATGCTCTCGTTTTTCGGTAAATATAAACGCAAAATGCATTGAATTAACGGAACGTTTCTGGCGTTGCACGCGAATCGTATCGTGGTCTCGTCAATGGGTTTCTGAATACCAAATACCTTTAGGTGGCTACCGCAAATTAACACCTCAGGGTTCCGCTACGACGCGTCTCCATTCGCCAGGATCAGCCACAGCGAAATCACGAAATACGCGGCTGCCAGGTGGATGACATTCATCAAGAACCCGTCCACGTGCCCGATACCGCGAACGAATCCGGAAACAAAGGCGTCCTCCTCCACGACCGAAGCGAGTCGCGATGATTTGCAGCACGATGACGCTAAAAACGTGTCGCCGAAATGGGAGCCAATAAGAAAGTTCTCTCCGATGGCGTCGCCGAAGGTTGACAAGGATGCTACGCAGAAGAAAGGTCAGTGGAAGCGCGATCGATCCTTAAACATCAAGAGCAATTACTCGGAAACCTATATAGAAAATAGTGAAAGGCTTGGAAAATTTGTTTAATCCGCCATGTGTTAACGAATCAACGTGATCGACGAACGCTGAGTCATTTTTAACTAAGTTTCATAGTGAACAAACTAGTTTCGATTAAAATCACCTAAACATCGGAAAAAAAAAACTATAAATGCCCGTTTGTAAATTAGATGGAACTACATTTATTTGTACAACTTACAAAAGTACACAACTTTATTTATCTGCTAAGGTGTAAATTCCTGTTTACTTGAACTAAACTTAAACAATTGTATTGATAATTACAGACGACGAAGGGTCCAATCGAGATTCACCGTCAACGAAACTGTCCCCTGACTCGACCGAACAAACTAAGACGCTAACGCAGCGTATGCGAGATCTCTACGACTTTAAAACGGAAAACGAATGGCCGAAGAGGGCAGTGAATACTCGACGCGAAAACATGTGGATCAGCAAAAGTAGCAGCGAGGAGGATAAATCCAGTCAGCCTGTGCGCAGAAACAGCCAAGATTTAGAATTCAATGACAGGGTAAATGTAATTAAGGTGAGCTGCTACTGATCTATGAAACGAAACATTTAGTGATTATTTTACTTAGGCTTGACATTCGCTAACGCTTGAGGGACATGACACTTGAATCACCCAAGTTGGAAAGATACTTTTTATTTATACTACACTGTTATCTCCTTGAAAAAATAGTAAGCATATGCAAACTATCAAGACATTTTTTATACATACAAAATTCATTGAATTCATTCGTTTCTGTCATCCAGATATAATAAACACACGATAGATATTCCATTTCCAGAAAGCAAAAATACATTTCATCTATTCTTCACCAAAATAAAATAAAAGAATAAACGTCGCAACAAAACTTGTACACCCTACCCTCATTGGTCATCTACTACTTGAACAACTTGACCTGTTTCTACTTGAATGTCATGGCCCTCAAGCAGTAACAAAAAGAAAACTTCGTACACTTTCCCCGCTAAAACTATTCCCAAACCCGCAGCTAAGGGACACGAAGGTGCAATCAGACTTCCAAAAGCCCAAAGTGAATACTCCTGAGAAAGAGGATCGCCAAAAGCGTACGGAGATCCCCAACAGTGATTACGAGGAACGTCTGAGGAAATTCAACGAGAGGCTCAGGCACAACGAAGACCTAGGTTCAGCGAAGCCAAAACTGAAGGAAAGGAGAACGCATTCCGACGACCACGACGAGAAAGTTCGCCGAGCTTCGACGCGATCGACGCGTTCGACGCGTACGCAGGGTTCGCAAGATGACCGTCATCCGTTCGAAAGAAAAAGGCATTCGGACGCGGGTAGCAGACCCAGAAACAGCCACGCAGAGGTGAGCCCGATGAAAAGGGATTCTCGTACGAGCGACGCTGGCCACGCAAGTCACATCGGGACCCATATGAAGCGTGCAAGTGTTGATTGCAAGAGCACACGGCAAATGGTAGAAGTTCCACCGCGAAGAGCCTTCAGCCAAACCGAGGAGAGACCAACGACGCCAGTGCCACCTGTCAAATGGAACAACGACCGTTACGCGGATGCTCGTTTGAAGGTACTCTCAGAACGTCAAAAGAGGGACAGTACGAGATACAAAGTGTATCTGACATGAACAAACACATTTCTCTGAGGAAAATCTATCGTACTCTCTCGAGCAAAATCGAATCGAGAAAATGTACAGCGATTCTTCTTTTGCTTCTTCAAAGAAACACGAGGACACTAGGTACGAAGATCGTAACTGCGCTACAATTTGTGATTGACATAATTAATATTTATTTCGACTGGACTCGTTTGTTAATCCGTAGTATGGAAATTACTATTATAAAGTGTTACGTGTAACCATTGAATGATCACACCCCCGATACGATACCTTTTTGCCACCTTCAATGTAAAGACGTTTGAATGTGTATACGCCGGTGACCGGAAGTTTCTACATAAGGGGTATGATTTGGTAGCGTTACTATACCGTGTACGACTGTCCGATTCTGTTACGATTGTAACTCAGTACGAATTACAAAAACAAAGATACACCTAATACTATACAAACGATGTAATACGATTTAACTAATAAAATATTCTTTGAGAAAGACAACGGTTCGATCGTCGGTGAGCATTGACGTAAATTATAGTTTATACATTCGTACTTATAGACTTTTTAACTACGGAGGACTAATCTTTTGGTCTTTTCTCAACGTATCAACTAATTTCTGCTTTCTTGACTAGATTGTTACTCGTTAAAACGACTTAAAACAAACGTGATTTAAAAGGAAAAAAAATAAACATTGCATTAGTACTAAATAATCTAGAATTAAAACCAACATATGTACTTATTTATAAAGGATGATTCAAGTAACGTGTTACAAGTCAACATCTTGATGGAGCATCGGACAATATTTTACGGCTATTTTAGGCCTAGGGCGCCTTTAAGCCGTCTTCAAGGCGTCATTGGGCGTCATGTGCTATCTGGGTTGTTTCCATGAAAACTGACATAGAAAATGACACATATTTTTTTCAATTTCAAACGTCTGTAACCCAGTCATGTATTAAAAATCGACTTCTATATTTAAAGGCATCTCAAGATAATTTAACATGTTCATATTTAACTTGATTTCCTTTATTTATTTATGCAAAAAATCGTAATATTAGAAAAGACTCAAACCAACGTTGAAGTATAACAAAATTATGTGCCATAAACAATGCATGTAAATCCTTTTATATCCTGATACCGTTATTAAAAAATGTTAGAATGTCTCCATCGATCCAATTGGACCATTGTTTAGTAACAATTAATCTAAACCATCCTGTATAAAAAAACGTATTAGTGCTCCAAAGTCAAAGTTGTTTCTTATTGTTACTACTTTCAATCAGGTCGATCGACTATTCGCACGAAACAGTGACGACCGACACAGTATACTTAATATCCCACGTTTTCCTAACCTTTACTTCCGTTCGACGTTTCGGAAGTCGTTACGGAAACCCGGATTCGAGTCTTTGATGAACGCAACCTTTGCTCGTTTTCTCACTGGAACATTATGAACTGGTGACGGCAATGTTTTGCAGTCTTTGCCTTGAACCGACTGCTCCTCGTCTTCCCGTTCCATCTTCAACCTTTTCTGGCCACAATTCGGGACACTTCCGTTCACCGTGGACATGTTGCTCAAAGCCGTGTTCGCTGGACAATTCGTTAGGATGTTCGAGTTGGTTACCGCTTGCACGTTGATTTGGGGTGACTTTGGGAAGGTCGAGGATCGTGGAGGACGTATCATGCTTCCGTTCGTCAGTGCACCAGTTGGAAGAGCATTTTGACCAATCGATGAGGGTGTCATGCTTCTTTTGTTCATGGCGGCAGTGACGCTGTGACCGCCGGGCGCGATCATCAGCAGATTGTTCCCGTTTTTGTCGCAGGCCACGTGAGAAACCGGATGCAGTTGCTTCTGCGCGGAGAAGCTCGTTCTGTACCCGTTGTGATTATCGGTAATGTGTTTCTCTTGCTTTAGAAAGTTCATCGACGGCTTGTTGGTATATATGGTCGAATTTTGAGAGTTGAACGACGGCTCACATTTAATTCGCACTTCGTGTTGAGCCATCTCGTTGCGGTCCTGCGCCTTCTGCCAGTCCAGGACGTTGCTTAGAAGCCTTATGTACCTGAGACAGATAATATTTGTATTGATTGTTTGTAACATGTGTGAAGACTTAACCGATCTATTGGTTAATCTGCATCAGGGTAGAATGAAAAAGAGCTTCACAGGCTCTCAGGAGGTACAGAATAGCTAAAGTTAATAATTGTAAAATATTTTAGTTCTTTCAGTTCAGTTTATTTATTTAGTAAAATAGTACCACTAATTTTTTAATTATTTATCATATATGTTATTACATTGTTCATCATGAAATAATAAAAGAGTCTCACAGTATTACTTAATGTATTGATGTGAAGATTAAAGTGGACATAGTTTTATTTAAATAATGAACCAGACTTCGGATGTTTGTACAATTTCATACGTTTACGAACTAATTTATAGAAACTAGAATTACTTAGAGATATATTTGCTTTGCCAACAGTTCTATTTGAATGTAAATGCATATGAACTTTATTATACTGTAGAAGAGTTATTTTATTGTATTTTTTACATTTAAATATGTCTTAAATGTAAAAATACACATCCGGAAACTATAAATAACCAATGGAAAAAGTGTAGTATTTACATACTCACTAGAGGAAAGCTATTATTCTATAATTATAGTTCTAATGTTGCTTCAATTAATAATGAGCAACAAGCTATATCTTCCACTTGTCATTGAAAACTGTTATTGATGCGATGCACCAATATATAATGACCGACTATAGTTCGTGAAATTTCATATTTATTATTAGCAAACAAGAGATATTCTTGTTTCTCAACACCTTCTTACATTATTAAAAAGATAAATATTTCGATTATAAACTATATTGTAGGTTTCTTAAAAAAATGGCGAATCATTTACTGGTACAAATTCGTGCATCTTTGAATTTTCACATGTATTTCAGGTTCTAGAGTACTAAAAGCTTAAATTACCTTATCGCCAAACGCAAGATTTCGTTCTTGGACAGTTTCTTGTCTGGTGGATGGGTCGGAACCAATTTCCGGAGTTCTGCAAAAGCACTTACACGAGGAGTTGGCGAACCGAGATTACCACCCCCAGACGATGAGATCCCGTCTAGCTACGAAATTATTACAAAGGATTTTAAAAATTATACAAAGATGTAAGTACAACAAAAGGTATGTAATTAACCCACTGTCAAAGCCGAAAAATAACTTCTTATATTGTTACACAACTTAAAATTCAACCTGGAAGAGGGTAATAGTGAGGATTGTTAACATCAATTAGAAACGTAGATTTAATTGTTAGGTGAATTAATAAGTAATTTATTATCTTGAACCACATAAGATATTCCTTTCCAAATCAAAAACATTTAAAACTAGTGCTAGGCTAGAAAGGTATACTAAATGTTATACTCTATTGTTATCTCATTAAGAAAACAGTAGACTACTCATTGGCACACCTTATATTTGAAATAAGACCTTCAATTCAGTCATGAATCATGTGCATGCACTACAGATGACGAAAGTTTACTGTTTAATAACAGAAATTGTTCTCTAGTAATCCTTAAGTCGTATTCATCAAACGACACTTTAATATTAATTCCAAAATGTCTCATAACTAGACTGCGGACATTTATACAAATTCAAACTTTCGTAGACAAATTTTGGAAAACCAGACATAAGCAGATATTGACTTTCTTCATCAATGGTTGTACCACATTGGACTTAATTTAATACATTTACTAAATATCATTGAAGTCTCTATTTTATTCAGTTCTACATATACATTCACTTATGCTATAAATACATAAAGATCCACAGTCTACTCATAACAGGTTAAATTTAAAATACAAAAACCGGACGTTACGTAGGGCTCATCACTGAACTGAACGTGCTAGGGCATATGAAATGACTTTCCTGTTGCTAATGTAAATCGAACAACCAACATTTCACCTGTACACCAACAGGTTATTGAAAAGTGAACTGCAACTTTACTCACGGAGTTGGTACGGTCCCGTCGTTTCTTCCCTTGATCGTCTTCGTCGTCCGTGTCGTGGGAATAAAATTCATCGGAAAGGGTTGCCTCCTCCTCGGTGTCCCTCGGCGTACCCGGGGAATCCCCGACTTCCTCCGCGAGTTCCCCTTCGGCGGACAACAGCGACTCCGCTGGAGAACCGTTCTCCGTGTCTACGGTACCTCCGGAACAGCCATTGTACGTCAGCATCGACTGCAATTTATTAATTACTCGTCTCGCTTCCCTCACACTCGAGCAAACCACTCGGATCATCCGTGACAACCTTAACAAGCTACGTAGAACCGGTATTTCGAATGGTTTACAGCCGTGCGTCACACGATGAAATGCTCGATGACAGAAGCCACGGGGAAATCTGGTTAAATTATCGCGGACAAAATTAGCCTACATAGCGCCAACAGGATGCTCGTATCGCACAACCCCCTCTGCGCTATTGTCCCTGACATTCAGCAGATACGTACTATGCGTACCAGTCACACTCGTTCATAGTAGTTTCTATGAATTTACATTCGTGGACAAACCATTCGGAGAACTTCGAACACGTGAATACGTTGAATTTTCTGACAATATTTTCGGACACAACAGAAACGACGGCGAATTGAACCACGAAATCCGTCGGTCTTGAGAAATAATATTCGAGGACAGAGGCTTCCTGAAACTTTATGTAGCTTGTAATTGAGAATGTTTTCCAATTTCAAGGTACGCACGATAAAAATCACCGTCGCACGAAGTCGAATCCAAACGCGTTAACAGGAGATGTACCGATATTAAAACGCATCGTGGCTCTTACCATATTAAGGGATGAGTTTTGTTCACTGTCACGTTACACCCACGAATTCACAACCGATGAAAAATACTTGGCGTAAATTTCGCAAGGACACGGTTACATGGAGACACTTTTACTGACAGATTTCCCGTAGTTACGGTTGTAGCCTGGCGTTAAACCGACTGACGACTCCAGACGGGGCCGATTTAACTAATAGAAAGTCCGGTACAACCCCCGGGAAAATGAATTTTGCGAAGGCGGAGCGCAGGCCTCATGGGTGGAGCTCCTCTCCGGACCGTCCCATACTGCTCCATACGTATCCAGCATCCCTCCGCTCTCCGGAGACCCTTAGGTCGCTGTTAGACCGTTTCTGTGCTGTATAAATACAACGAAAGGATAACAAATTTTTATTTTCCTTAAAATAACTCATTAGTAGACTGCGAAAGTGTATGCATTAGGGTAGAACGAAATAGAGACAGATCTTTTTTTTATTGTTCATGACATGTAATGAAGCAAAAGTTACCTTTTACAATGGTATTTGAACGTACAAAATTTTAAACTTGATCAAGAAATTTGTTGAGCTACCGCAAGCTGCTCTGACTATTTTTATCGATGATTATGAGTTTACCATGATGTTTTCAGTAATTTACTTTTTATTTTCACCAGATAGTTTTCCTTACTATGTAATACTAATTTTGGATAAAACAGATTTAAGAGTAGACTAATAAAATCATTTCACAAGATTTCTTTATTTCCTCATTTTATATTGTGAACATCATTTTGTTACGTATTCTTGAACATATTTTATCTGCCTTGTTACATTAATCCGTTCTAGAAGGAAAAACGTCTAATAAAAGAATGCTAATAATTCTAAATAAATTTCTAATTACATTTTAGAAGGCAAAATCACCTTTGTCCTCAAGACTATGGAAAAAGTAACACACAACACTTTTAAAAAACCCTAAAAAGAAACAAAACGTTAAAACTTTAGAGCTCTTGTAGCAACTCAAAAATTTTATTTACCAAGACTAAGCTTTATAAGCTTAATTTAAAACACTAGAGTCATGGTTTTTTTCACTAGAAGAAAACAGTCACACAATATTGATTTTTTCGTTCCACCCTTGTATGGTGCATGCTCGCAATTTTAGATACTAGATACATGGACAAACTTGTTTCCTATAGTAATGGTTACAGTACGTTAATAGTAATACGTGAGGAATATTAAACTTTATTAGATTCTACAATTCAGTACATTATGCAAATTGAAAGACGTTATAAATTCATAAAACATCCGAAGTCTATTTATTAGTGTCTCTTAAATCAGCATGCATATTTTCAGGATTGTTTATAAAGTTCAGAAAAGAAAAAGATATTATATTATTATGCAATCCTTAGGCTTTATTTCTTAAGTTGAAACGAAATAGGGATGTTTATGGAACTTCAGATTTTTGTAGATTAAGTTTGGAAATAAAATATTTTTCTCTATCGATGATTAATATGATTCTTAGATTATCTGTTAGTATAGTGATTTGAAGATAAGATAAAAATTTTGTTGTACTTCCTTAATGCATTTATTCTATTCCGTTTCGTATTTTTATACATACTATCAATGAATCAACTTTCAAATTAAATTATAATCAATCATAAAATATGATTAGAATATCCCTCGTTGTCGACTGACTTGATTTATTTGCAACTTCTCCGTCTTCTGTGAGAAAAAATAAAGGATTAAAATGAATAGAAATATTAAAATAATTTGTATTTATATTAGAAATTCGAAATATACTAGAAGTAACAGCTTCGAAGATTTTCTTTAATCTGCTAAAACTAAATCGCTGTTTGTTACACACATACAAAACGGAACAAAATACGATCTTCGCCAAGAATTAATAAATAGATTTTTCTTCAATTCTGTATATTAAATTTTTTTAAACATAATAAAAATAAATTGCAAACAATCTATATATACTCATGAAACATGCTCACAATTCATGTTCATACAACGTTCTTACCCTATTCCACTCGATTGTTTCATTAATCTCCAAACAATACATCTGTCATCTGTTTCATGAATAAATAATTAAGAAATTCATTCTTCCTTCACACAGGTGTTGCATCCTCTGAGTAACACAAAATTATATAAAAGCTTAACATACTGTGCCAATTCAATGACAAATTGTTTATTTACAGAAATCATCATTCGTTCGCACAGAAGTGCTACATATTCCCAGAATCATAAAATTCTTCATTCATTAAGTCAAATTTACCAATTTCATAAGAAACCATTTACCCTCTATATCCCAATATTGTTTATAATCATTGAGAGTTAAAGTTATTGAACGAATTAATTTTTTCTTCTTATTGGAAACAGTGTCCACTCTCAGGGTATCTAAACAATTAGATTCATATTAGCCGTATCCCCCAAAAAGTCAACGGGGGACACAGAAGCGGGAGAAAAAAAGGGAGCCTTGTTTAATATACATTAGGGGTGAAAGTTTAGCGTGCCCCATCCGCTGTCAAGTGGCCACCAGCCACGAGCTGTTTTATTGTGACACCTCCGGAGGGTGCTACAGATTTTCCAACGGGACGAACAGGGGAGGGGCTATCATCGTGCGATCCCGATTAAACGATTAAATCTGCGATCATGCTCATTCGAGCGCTATTACTGGCCAATCTGCGTGGGAGCTGGTCTAATTTCGCCTAAGCGATGAATGATTGTAAAAACGTTAAAAAACAATCGTTTACACGTACACTAAATAATCTATAAATTGTGTTATTATATTAAAAAGATGCCATTAGAACAAAACAAAAATTAAATTATACATCGCCAATGGAAAATTTTCAATAACTATGATAGTTTTCATCGATTTATATAATATAACCGTCACAAATATATTAACCGTCATCCACTACTCATTTTTCCAAGTTAATTTGTCTCTCGGTGTCATATTGACACAGTGGTAAAAAATTAATATAATGAAAAGGTAAATAGTTAAATTTGCAAGTTCTTTAAAATAAAAGTCACGAAGCCTCAGCTAAAACGTACACATGACAGACTAACATTATTTCTTAGGAGAAAAATTTATCAAATTGTCACAAGGGATGGATGAGGGTTAACTCCCAGCAATACCAAACCTTTTTTTGCTACATGAATTACGAAGGGGGATACCTTATACTCACCTAACAAAAATCTATGATATCTTGCAAAAACTTCATGCTTTGAACATACCGCAGCGGACAAAACTTAATTCTTTGAAGATTAATTTCTCTAACATTTTCTATATTAATTAACGTAGAGTAAGGATTTTCTTAAACATTATTTTCTTAAGCATTAATAATCATAATAAAATCGATACCATTTGGTGATTAATACAGAAAATGCTAGAAAAATTATTCTTCAAAGAATTATTACGGTATATCTAGAAATGAAAGATTTTGAAATAAAATATTCCATTAAAATTAACAAAAGTTATTGCAAATGAACAATTTTATAAGAAATTTTGTTAAGGATACAGTATTTATTTCTAAATTATACAGAAATTTTACTATAATATTTATTTTATTGCGTGCCCTACATAAACGTATGAACGTATAAGGCAATGTCCCTTTTAAATTTAAATAAAAGTATTTTTAAAAACATTTTAACTTAATAGTAGTTAATTTCATAGGAATTATAAAATGTTCCTATTTCTGCTCAGCGAACATGGAAGTATAACGAATTTATTGTTTAACTTTTTACATTAAATAAAAAATATACGTACTGTGCAGAAATCGAGACGTGATTAGAAATAGGGACATTGACCTTATAGTCTTAGAGTCTAATGGTGCATCTCTGTGGAATCGCAGAGATTATAAGCACAACAAACAACCAATAAATTAGTTTTCCTTTTACGACGTATACGATTCGTATGCAAGGTATACTAATATTTTGATTACTCGATACATGACTCATGCATCTGTATCAAAGATAAGATTATGTGTGGCAACGAATTTGCATCATTACTCATCGTGTTAGGTAATAATATCTCAATATTTGAACTCGCTCAAATTACGTCAGCGTACTGAAATGTTATTAAGTTCCAAGTTATTCAAATAATTGGATTCCTGTGATCGCGTTTAAACGAAACTTTAGCTGGTTCCGAGTTGAAAGAACGAAGCTTATTTCATGTCGCGCGAATGACGATAACGAGCCTCGATTAGATAAAAACGGGAGTCGATGTTGTTTGTTCTTTAATTGTGTAGGAAGCATCTTCGAGGCAGATGTTAACGGGATGGAACAGGAAGGAGGTGGAGACAGATTTAGTCATGAACCTCGGTGCATATGACGCACAGATAACGAAAGAATGACTCCGTCACAATCGCTTTCTTACCCGTTTCAACTCGAAGAACACGGAACAAAGAACAGTCCAAAAGTTTCGAAATACGAAAACATTTTTTCGGACTAATCTTTTCT